ATTAAGCCTTTGGCTTACGCAAGAAATATATCGGCTTAAATCAAGCAGACGTCGAACAGTTTTCATGACTGCATACAGCTTCTTGGTACCACTGAAATTCTCGGAAATGAGCTCCATCCATCCCAAAGAAATGGAAGCAATTGGGTTATTTTCTGAATCTGAATCCCCAAAGTGGAATGGGACAACTCGTTACAGCCAACTCAACGTGGCCAATTGGCCACAGCTAAGGTGCTACAAGCCAACTCGCTGTGGGACAATTCAACAGTGCAATTTAATTGTTTAACCTAATTAAAAATTTATTGTAACTGTTGTCATTCAGATGTCATTTTGTCCCTCCTTGTTCAGCGGTCAATTGGCCGCGGCGAGTTGGCTGTGGCAAGTTGTCCTAGAACCCCTCAAAGTGCTGCTAAGTCAACTCTCTTTCCCATGGTCTTGACCCAAGTAGCTTAATGGTAGCTTGTATGGTCTGTGGGCTGGATTCGACCATCTTTGGTTAAGGGAGATTTCAGGGGGCTGGTGAAAAAAATCACTCACTCTAGTCTCCCACCACATGTTCCTCCAAAATGCACAGGAGAGATTCATGGAGCATTTGAGTTGGGGACAATGAAACCTGGTCAGCTTCTTTTGCACCTCCTCAAAGGGTGCCAGGATTTCCTCAAGAGATCCATGGCTCTCTGAAATTTGCAAACTGCCAACAAAAGAATTAGCTATCCATGTTCAGATCATGCCCAGATTTGTATAGTTTGGATGGTTAAGTACGTTTCTATTAAAATTAATAACGGGGATGTTTTTGTGGTGCCAACATTAGAATCTTGATTAACTTAATATCAATAGAACTAACTAGAATTGCAGATTGGGAATCTTGAGCATTTAACGTATAGGGCAGTTTAAATGACAAATTATAGGTAACAGCTCAATTATTGTTCTATTCTCAGTCAATGGAATCAACGAGATTGGAAAACGTCTAATTAAGCAGACGAGGTCCCTCAAACAGAATTGCTAACACCTTTGCTTTGTTTTGGTTTGTGCTGAACCCCTCTTGGATGTATACCAAATTTATTTCATATAATGGCTGGGTTACTTTGCCAAATCAAATTTCTGGCACTAAAGCTTTGTAGAACAGTCTTAGTACGTGGGAGCAGAGTTCCCATTTCTCTGGAATTCCGGTTCCTCCTGCTATGAAATTCAGGTTTCCCACGCAAACAACCCATTTGGAAATGTAGTACAACTACATCGGTGTAATTCCAGCCTGTGGATACAAATGAGATCTCCAATAGAGGGAATTGGAGAAAAAGGGTACCAAAATGATCAATTTGTCCTCTCTTAATCCCTTTTCCATTTATGGGACTACATCTATCCTTCTCATCAGCTTTCATTCTTTTCGGCACCAATGTCACTTCTTCCACTGGACTGATTGGCACTTCCAATCAGAGGCTACTTTTAATACATATTGACAGTGGAGGCAGTGGTGGGATTCAAATAATTTAACAACCGGTTTTCTGCCCTAATGACCAGCTGGGTGGGTGTGGCCATGGTGGGCATGGCCAAGGGGTGTGACAGGCAGCCTCCTGCACCCCCCCCGAGAGCAAAAACGGGCCGTGGGGGGGCACCACATTTTGGGCCTAGGAGGCCTCCCTGCACTTATTTGGGAGCCAAAATGGGGCACGTGGGGACTCCTGGAAGGGGAGGGGAGGGGCCAGCCAAACATTTAACTACTGGTTTGCCCGAACCGGCCTGAACCGGCTGAATCCCACCATCTTCCAAAGGTTTTCCCAACAGTTCTAGATAGACTTCCCAAAGGATTAATTCATACATCTGTCATTTCTTTCCTACAGCTTCCAAATGTCTGTCTCCTTTATCCTACTGCTTGGTTTCCATCTATCACCTCTCTGCTTGTCCGTCCATCCATCCATCATCTACGTTTTTCCAGAATGATATGGATTTAAGCTTTGAAGCTGTGGGGAAAAGCTGCCTGTTTGTAATTCTCCTTTTCCAGGCTGCATGGAAAACAAGCATGACCAGGAAGCGATGGCTAACACCTGATATGTATAGTAGAACCTCTGGTCATGACCATAATTCGTCCCATAACTTCGGTCGCAAATCGATTTGGTCGTGATCCAAACCTAATTTTGGAAATTTGGTGCTTACAAAAAAAAACAAAAAAAAATGGCGTGGAAGGACAGGGAAATCGGCCGTGAAAAAGAAATTTGTGAATTTTTTGGTCAGAACCCGATTTGGTCATGGTCAGAAGCGTTCATGACCAGAGGTTCTACTGTATCAGCATTTTCTTATTTTCGAGGAATAGGAAATGAATCCTAAATCATGGAAAAATGTTTTTTTCTGAAGGGCCAACCAAAGTGGCACAGACCAGTAAAAAAACAAACAAACATTACTTTTGGATTGTGTTTATCATATGAAGGGCCCACCTGGGTTACCTTTTTTTTTAAAAAAAAACTATGGGTAAAACCAGAGGTGGGATTCACTTACCTTCCCTACCGGTTCGCAAAGACGAGCACTTGCGCCTCTGTGCATGCACACGGCCTTCTGTGCATGTGCAGTAGTCGCACATTATGACCGGGCGGGTGGGCGGAGCCTCCCACAGTCGCCACTACCGGTTTGCGCGATCTGGAGAGAACCGTCTGAATCCCACCACTGGGTAAAACCCACAATATATCATGGAGACTGATGGACCTGTACAACAGCTGTCCATTTCGACAGACGGATGATTGGTGAGGGCTAAGTAACTACGGAAGGATTGCAAGCACTTCTTTGCCTCCGAATGACGTTTCTTACAGCTAGCCTTGAGATCAGAACAGACCTCGGCCTTTACTGGTTCTGCTCAATCAAAATATTGGACAGTCCAGCACAGCAGGGAACGCTGGTTCGTTTCTCCAACCTCTTTTACCTCATGGAGAAATCAAAGTGGTATGTTATGCACACAACTCTGCCTGCCTTGGTTTTCAATTTGCTGCGCTATTTATTCAAAACTCCACTGAAGGGACATCACTCTAGTGCAGGGGTGTCAAACTCGATTTCATTGAGGGTCGCATCAGGGTTGTATTTGACCTTGGGGGGCCGGGGTGGAGGCGCCACGGTGAGTGTGGCCAGCTCAATGTCACTCCTGTGGGGGGCACCTGTGGGAGCCTGAGCACACTGCTTGCAAAAACAGGCTCCCGAGCTCCGTTTTCGGCTGCCACGTTCTCCTGCAACCCTCTGCCAGTGAAAACGGAGCTCGGGAGGGCTCCCGAGCTCCGTTTTCACTGGCAGAGGGTTGCAGGAGAACGTGGCAGCCGAAAACGGAGCTCGGGAGCCCATTTTCACTGGCAGAAGCACCACGGGCTAGTCCTTCGCTGTTTCCAGAACGGCCCCGTGGGCCAGATCTAAGTACCCCGCAGGCCAGATCCGGCCCCTGAGCCTTGAGTTTGACACCCCTGCTCTAGTGAGTGTAGAATAACGTAGTGAAAAAACATTCCTGTATTTGATAGATACCCAGGATATCAAAATGACCCATTAAGGGTTGCTGCCAATCAAATATCGTACAGGCGAAACAATTCTAGTTGGACCCATCCGTGTGACTTTGGCCAACGCCAGCATAGGTTGTGTGTCATAACCATTAGAGTTAAAAGAAAACTCGGGGAGAATCAGTAAAGGGACATGGACTGAGTTTTAACGCACCATTTCAGCTTAGGGGTTTGTGAATGAGTAACTAAGCAAGGCTATGCTCCAGCTCAGAAAGTATCCGCTGCTTTGCTTTGCAAGGTGCAGAAGCTGAAGGGCAGATGTTTTTGTTTTTTTTTCAGTTTTCTTTTGTTTTCAAGAGGAGGGAAAAAAAAAAGTGCCAGCAGCCTCCTGCATATTTTCCTCTGACCAAGTGATAGTTGATAAGGAGATAGGGATTAGTCTGACTTTAAAAATAAACCTGACGTAGCTTATTCCGACTACGTTGGAAAATCATTACTCCCAATTGAAAGAAGAAAAGAAACCCAGAACCTTAGAATAAAGCTCTAAGGATCGAACAGTGTAAAACGTTCCAAAGACAACACACATTAATATATATTTTTTTTGAAATAACATTTTCCTGAAGAAATTAGATTTCGAAGACGAGGCAAGGATGGATAACAGCACTATACTTTCCTACATGTACAGGTAGTCCTTGACTTATGACCACCACTGAGCCCAATGTTTCCATTGCTAAGCAACCATCGCTAAGCATATATGCCATATAGGCCATTGTTAAGTGAGTTGCATCCCATCTTACGACCTTTCTCACAATTATTAAGTGAAGTGTTAAGTGAGCCATGCGGTCGTTAAACGAATCTGGCTTCCCCCATTGCCTTTGCTTTCAGAAGCCACTGGGAAAGTTGCCAATGGCGATGGCAGTGCAATTCTCATAAGTACATGCCAGTTGCCAAGCCTTCAAATTTTGGGGACACGGCATTGGTCGTCAGTGTGAAAAATCAGTCCTAAGTCATTGTTTTCAGTAACTTCGGTCACTAAATGGATGGTTATAAGTCGAGGGCTACCTGTATTGCTAATGTGGTACAAATCAGCCTTTTGTTCCTGCCTTCCATCCGTCTACAAATTCTAGAAACTGGATGAAATCCTCTGAAGTCTGCTACTGGTTCTGTGAGTCTGCTACCGAGTGCACGCTTCATGCGCGCATGCGCGCCTGAGGCGCGCCCACACAACGCTAAAAAAGGAACATTTTGAAGCCTTCCAAGTCTGCAAAGGTAAGTAGAACAGTGAGGAGGGTGAAATCCGCTGTGCCATGCGATTTAGATTAGCTAGAAAGCAGGAAATCTGACGATTCTAACTAATATAAATCTCGCGTCACAGCTGATCGTCGGAAATACTGGTTCGCCCAAACCAGTAGCATTTTTTACTACTGGTTCGGAGAACCAGTCTGAACCGGTAGCATTTCACCCCTGGTTAAAGTGAGGGGTTTTTTTTTAAAGCCAAGGAAAAAACACAAAAAAACACAAGTGGATAAAAAGACTTACGTCGTTTGCAGCCACATTTTTTAATCCTTTTGGGGTCTGTGATGTCATCGTGACACGCCTTGCAATAAAAGTAGGCCCTGGAGTGGAAGGAGAAGAGGGATAAAAATGACACTTCTCTTAATTCATACAAATGAAATTAGTTCTACATTTTCTCTTTTGCGAAAAGTGGCGAATTAATAAAACATGCCAGCCTTAATTTCCTTTAATCTTTTGAAAGGTTTAGACATTTAAGGAAGGGAATGTTTGCTACAAGACAATTAATTTCCAGCCCCCAGCTTGGGTGATTCGAGTTCACGCTTCTTTTAATAAATTTAACTTGAACATAATGGTGGCGAATGGTTCATAAAATGTGACACGCTGGATCAGTTCGTTGGGCTTTCATCTCGGAAAGAAGCATCCAAACTTACAAAAGAGGCTGGGGGGAGGGGACATTCTTGGCAGAGAAACTGCACTTTCAAAGGCCTCTGATTTTTAATTTTTTATGGCTTTAAGACCAGACAAATACAGAAGACTATTTGTTCCACTTAGTTTCACATGGGCTTTATGTTCTGAAGGAATTCAAATACAGTTGTGGAAGAAATACAGAACAATAGCATTTATGGCTGAAATTGCATTGCCTCTGCAGTTGAATACAGGATACAGATTAACAGAGTTGTGTTGTGGTTCGCCAGCAGCCCATGGTGCTAGCAGTGGAGTTGGACAATGAGGAGGCTGGGGAGGACCATGGGCCAGTCCTGGACTCTGGGGAAGGCCCGGACGAGGCAGGCAGAGATGGGGCAGGGCCATCTGGGAGCAACGCACGGACTCTGGAGCCTCCAGAGGCGGATAGCAGAGAGGCAGAGGAACAGGAGGAGCCTGTTCCTTGTACACACATGCACAAGAACTGCCAGAAGGCAAGAGCAGCTAAAGCAAAAAGGACGACTCAGGAGTAAGGCCAGGAGATGATTGGCCCCTCCCAGAAGGCTTAAAAGAGCAGCAACGGCCCTTTGGCTTTTTGTAGGAAAGCAATGTTGCTACAATTGTTTATAGTCGGTGTCTCTTGCTTCTGAACTTTGTGAGGTTTTGCCAAGAAAAGCCTTTGGCAGGGTGCCAAAAAAGGCAAATGTTTGTGATAAGACCGAAGGACGTTTTCTGAAGGATTTGTTTTTGTAATTAATTTGGACTAAGCTGAGAATGAAGTAATCCTCAGCTGTTCTAATAAAATATGTTTGTTTAGGACTAATTGAGCCTGATAATAACTACTTGGGCCTAGGTCACAACAAGTCAGAAGGATCCTTGGAGGTCTTCTAGTCCAACCCCCTGCTCAAGCAGAAGACCCTAAACCCGTGATGGAGAACCTGTGGCACACCATCTATCCGGGCACGCGAGCCATCGCCTTTTGCTCTTCCAGGTTCTGGCATGCGGGCCAGTTGGTCTTCACGCATGCGGGAGTGCCGGAAACCAGAAGAGCAGGTGCCCAGTGCGCATGCGTGCACCAGGAAGATGATCTTTCATTTTCCAGCGCGTGCATGAGCACCGGCCACCTAGACTTCCGGTTTCTGGTGCGCGAAGACCAGTTGGCCGATGCACATGCGCACACCGAAAACCAGAAGATCATCTTCCTGGCACGCACATGTGCACCGGGTGGCTGCTGTTCCAGTTTCCAACACGTGCATGAGCTCCCGTTTCGGCACTTGGTGTTTGCCAACACTAGACCATTCCAGACAAGTGGCTGCCAAGTCTCTTCTGGTAGCTCAGCAGACTAAAAGCATTGTGATTAACACCAGCTGTCTGCAATTACTGCAGGTTCGAATCTCGCCAAGGCTCAAGGTCGACTCAGCCTTCCATCCTTTCTAAGGTAGGTAAATTGAGGACCCAGTTTGTGGGGGCAATAAGCTGACTTTGTATAAATATACAAAAGTATGAAGGCTATTGCTTAACTCATTGTAAGCCGCCCTGAGTCTCCGGAGAAGGGCGGCATATAAATCAAATTAAAAAAAAAAAATCCACTGATGCTGGCTTAGATTCAGAATGCTCTCTGGACCGGTGAGAATTTCTGCTCATCACAGTTAAGAAAATTGCATATTTTTTATTCTCTATTCTTCCCTTCCTTCACAAAATATTTTTAAAATAGGCTGTGGGAAGTGAAAGGATCTCAAGAACAACTTTTCACAGGTAGGGTTTAGTGAAACTTGGGGAAGGGGGAAAAAAGTAGTGATTTCAGCTATTGCTGATCAGGAACATTTAATTTAGTTCATTTTGATTTATCAACTCGTTATGTAATCGTGTTATACTGAGCTTAAGCTAAATGACTTTCCTCCAGAGACCTGTTGAAAATCTTTCTCCTTTTGTACACTAATAAAGTTTCAATTGGCTGTATTTTGGGGAGGGGAAGGGAGGGAATTCAGACTGTGTTGGTAATCTCACGAAAAATGTCTATTATGACAAGATAGCGATAGAAACCAAAAAAGGAATTGAAAACAACGTTCTTTGCATCCCAAGACAAAGTATAAATCTGTAAGAATTTGAAAAAGGCATGCATTTCTGGTTGCTCACAACTCTAAAATCGGAAACTATTTATTGTTTTAAAGAAAACCAGAATTAAATGTATAAATACACAAGATGAGGTGTTAACATCACAAATGATGATGCTAAAATGATCAGCAATTGAATTATCGATCTTACAAAAAATGTAATGCACACCGAAGTCTTAAAAAGTAAGTTGTATGCTAAAAATGAGGGACACCGCAGATTATAAATGGAAAATGGATTTTCTCTCTCTCTCTCTCTCTCCTTTTAAGGAAGTATCAATCAATAAATTCAATTTATTGCAGCCTAACACCAGTAACAGATAATGAAGACATAAAATTTCTGACACAGTTAAAGCACATTTGTAAAATAACCTGATTGAGTGATTGACTGAATTGAAATATATGATTCAACCTTGATATCGAAAGTAGGTCCTTTATATTGAATGATACAAAAGGGATAGCATTCACTGTGCTGATCTTGAGTTGCTCTGATAGGCTTTCCCATCTGAATTACAGGCAGTCCTCGACTTACAACAGTTTGCTTAGCAACCATTCGAAGTTACAGCGGCATTGAAAAAAGTGACATGACCACTTTTCACCCTGATGACCATTGCGGCATCCCTGTGGCCACGTGATTTAAATGCGGATGCTTGACAGCTGGTTCATAGTTATGACGGTTGCAGTGTCATGTGTTCAGTGGTGGGATTCAAATAATTTAACAACCAGTTCTCTGCCCTAATGACCGGATGGGTGGGCGTGGCCATGGTGGGCGTGGCCAGGGGCTGTGACAGGTAGCACTCAGCCTCCTGCACCCCCCGGGAGCAAAAATGGGCCGTGGGGGGGGGGACGATGTGCTGCCGTCCTGTTCTGTTTTGGGCGTAGTTGGCCTCCCTGCAGCCTCCTGGGAGCAAAAATGGGATGCGTGGGGATTCCTGGAAGGGGCGGGGCAGGAAGGGGTGGAGCCAGCCAGCAATTTAACTACCACTTTTCCCAAACTGGCCCAAACCAGCTGAATCCCACCACTGCATGTGATCATATTTTGCAATCTTCTGACAAGCAAAGTTAATCGGGAATCCAGATTCACTAAACAGCCATGTTACTAATTGAAGAACTGCAGTAATTCACTTAACAAATGTGACAAGAAAAGTCATAAAATGGAGCAAAACTCACTTAACAAGTTTTTTCGCTTAACAACAGAAATTCAATAATGGTCATAAGTCAAGGACTACCTGTGTTAAGGGCAATAAGCTTTACTTGCTAAAACAAATGAGACTGAATTGCTGTACCTCTACACTGTATCAAATGGAGGTGTACAAAATCAAGGGAAGTTTTGGAGGCATTCAGAAGACTAGGATGAAAACAGAAGATGGGGTTGACTGGCCTTTGGTCAAATCTAGCCAGAAGCAATTTGCAGATGACACTAGACTGGCAGGAACAGCCAACACCCCAGAAGACAAGCTCAAGATCCAAAAAGATCTTGACAAACTTGAACAATGGGCCCTATCCCACAAAATGAATTTCAATGTGGAGAAAAGGCAAAGTTTTCCATTTAGGCAGGAAAAATGAAAAAAAAAAAAATCAAAGGTGCAAGTACAGATTAGGTGAGACCTGGCTCAAAAACAGTAACTGTGAGAGGGACTTTGGAGTCCTAGTGGATGATCACTTGAATATGATCTAGCCATGTGCAGCCGCCGCCAAAAAAGCTAATACAATCCTGGATTGTATAAGCAGAAGCATAGGATCAAGATCATGTGAAGTATTACTACCGCTTTATAAAAACCCTAGTAAGACCACACCTGGAATACTGCAACCGATTTTGGTCATCAGACTACAAAAAAGATGTTGAGACTTTGGAAAAAGTTCAGAGAAGAGCAACTAAGATGATCAAAAGCCTGGAGACCAAAACATTATGAAAAACGACTGCAGGATTTGGGCTTGGCTAGTCTAAAGAAAAGAAGAATTAGGTGGTGCTCTCCCCAGCCTCCAGAGTTTTTCTAGGAGTCTGGGGAGGGCGAAAAGGGCCTTTGCCACACACCCCCAGAGACCCTCCAGAGGCCAAAAATGACCCATTGCCAACTTCCAGTCCCACCGGAAGTTGGCAAATAGGCCGTTTACGGCCTCTGGGGGAGTGGGTGGGAAAGGCTGTTTTCAGGCTGGGGTGAGCAAAAAATGGGCCTACCATGCCATCATGTGCCAGGAGCGGGGGGAGCATAGGGGGGTCCCACGTGCATGCACGGGGGCAGGGCGCATAGAATTATGGGTTTAGGCGCATGCGTGACCCGCCCCCCCTGCTCCTGGCATGCGATGGCAAAAAGGTTAGCCATCACTGGTATAGAGTCTCCTGCTTGAGCAGGGTTCTGGACTACAAGACCTTCAAGGTCCCTTCCAACTCATTCATTCTATTCATATGGACACCATGTACCATGAATGTCTTCAGTTTCTCTAATTCCTTCCCACATATAAGAATCTAGAGTTGGTCTTTCATTACAAGCAAATGCTTCTAAAAGTTGAGGGAGCCCTTGAATTCTTGTCACGTTCTTCATCATCACTCTTATCGCATCACATCCTGCCCCAGCAGTGAGATCGGGAAAGCTTCCAAAACGCATTGTGGAACCGCGATGATACAATTACAGAACGACCAAATATTTACCTTTTCACTTCTTTGGCGTCGCTCGCAATGAAGAATCCTAGCGTACCCTCTTGAATTTTCACATGGTTTCCAGGGTTGATCAATATACTGCCCAGTGAAATGGAACAAAACGACAAACAGGAATCAAAAAAAGAGAGAGAGAGAACGCTTCTACTATTGTGCTGTGAAACCAAATTCATTATTCCTTATTGCTTTGTTATAGGGGGCCCATTAGTTTGGCAAATCCAAAAGAAAAACAATAGAGGAGGCCATTAGAAGCCTTTTTTTTTTTAATGTAAGGTTTCAAAATATGAGCTGTATTGAAACACTGAGGCAGAAAATGCATTCCACTCGTAACACCAAAGTGTTTATCTTGAAACTTTGCTCGAGGCCCGAGCGACTTCAGTTAGGGGTAGAAAGGGGGACAAACGTACAAAAAGCTTTGATTTTTTTTTTTTTTTTTTTTGCTCTGCATTCAAAGTTAACAAAATTGTTATGATTGATGCCAAGAAAAATTGTTCCCGTGGTAAATATCTGCTCGGAAAAGCCTCACTCTGCTGGCAGTTTAGCCCTTTGTGTCAATTTCTGTTGAAGTGGGGTATTATTAATGGGCCCCCTATCACTGTCTATTACATGAGTTATAGCATAGTACATACATATATATGCTCGGGGGGAATGGTACAAGACAACCATTTACGATTGCTAAAGAAAACATAAACCGGGATATGGTGGTTAATCATTTCTCCTGCCCAAAGCCCCTTTTTCAGACTGTTGTCAATGAATCAAAATATGTTACTCATCCTTGCTAGAAAAAATCAAATCAACTGCATTTCAAGATTTAGACTAATCTCATTGGACTGACTTCTGGGTTTATGGCATATGCTCTTCAACAGGAACAATGACTTTAAGCCAAACCAATTCACATTTTTAACAGAGCCTGGCCCGGGTCTTAGAGCCTGCCTTTGGGAGGAAGAGTGGGTGAACGTGGTCAGCCATCCACTTAACTTGTACATCTGTAAAGATGAAAGTTTTTGGTAAACAGTTACAGGTTTCACCCATTGAGTGTTGAATGTTCTATCAGTTCCAACATGCGACATCAAGGGAAGGTGTAAAGTCTACTAGGATGGAAATGAATACCTCAACCACATATTAAGTGCTTGTATATGCTCATCCTGCAAGAAATACCCACCCAATGGAACACATTTATGGTTGACTGGGTTTTATTTTCCTTTGCATACAGATTTGTCATCCTCTTAGAACAAGGGTCTCCAACCTTGGCAACTTTAAGACTTGCGGACTTCAATTTACCAGAAGTCTGTCTCGGGAATTCTAGAAGTTGAGGTCCACAAGTCTTAAAATTGCCAAGATTGGAGATCCCTGTCTTGGAAAACTTTGGTAGTTGGACAGATCAAAAATGTAATCAACAAATATATAATGTGGAATACATTGTAGGAATGTGCCTGGTCACTATTTAGTGAACGTCAAGATTTTCAAAGGAGATTTTTCTTTTTTTTAAGGGACTAAATGATTCTATGTTCCACGTGCATCTTTTCACGACCTGATCCTGCCCCACTATTTTAACATTTCTTATTTTAATGGAACGCATCCTACGAAAGAAGAAGGGAGGGAGAATTCTCACTGTTTCAAAAAGGCACGAGGTTAATTTAGCACAAAAAAAAAAAATGGTGAATTCACAAAATTGGTTTTTCTTCCTGGAAAACCATAGGCATAGAAAAATTTCCATTATCTTTTAGTGCTTTGGTCCAAGATAATGATTTACACCAGGGGTGTCCAAACTTGGCAACTTTAAAGAGATGCTGGCTGGGAAATTCTGGGAATTGAAATCTACCAGTTTTAAGTTTGGAGACCTCTGGTTTACACAATGGCAGTTATGGGTTGTTGTAATTCGTTTGTGCTGAAAAAAAAAGTTTTAGAGAGCTTCTAAGGGAAATTTGATTGTCTCTTTCTCTCTCTCTCTGGACACAATTTCATCGTTGTTTAGTTAGAAGAGAGTTAACATGCATGCAATGTTTGTAAGAAATGAAGACTGCCACGATTAGAATCGATTGGGACTTAGTAGAAAACATGTTTTAAGGGAATGAGACAGTGAAAGCACATATATATGAACACAAACAGTGCGAGATACACATGGTACAGCTTTCTGGCATTATCTTTGAGAGTCAATGGATCCTTCCTCTTGCTACCTACTCATAAATGGTATTCTTCTGGAAATATTTGAAGGGCACAGAAGAGATTTTACAGGAAGAAGCTGTGGTTAGATATAATGCTGTTAAGTGGAAACTGTTTTCAGATTTACCACAAGGCCTAAAGTATCCAGCATCTGCACTTATTGTGTTGGAGAAGAGAAAAATAAATGGCATTAATTGGACAATCTCCACTTCTCCTTCCTAGATGGCTCCTGACAAGATGGTTTCAATACCTGGTGAACCCATCTAGTTCCTAATCAAAACCTCTTTTACAACTTCCTTGATTATTGCTAAGGCAATTAGCAATCATTGTGGATAATGTAAAAGAGGGGAGTTTTTTCCCCTCTCTCTATTAAGCAGCTAAATTTGAGTTGCCATTGAATTTAATCTGAATTTTACTTTCAAAACTGGAAGTTCTTTCTTTAGCTGTTTTTGTTGTTGTTGTTGAAATGTAGCAAAATGTTGCAATTTTTAATTTGTTTTAGAAGATAAGCCAAAGATCAAAAAGAGAAAAATGTGATTTAGGAGACAGGACAATTCTGAGCTTAAAATTATTAGCATATATTTGAATACAAGAACATATTATTATCATTACAGTCAATCAGATGTTCAGACTGGATATGGCATTTTTGTTCACCTATCGAGTCCTTCCTGAGGACCTGAGATAGGCACATGTGGATGCTTGATGGTGTTAAAGCATCAGAGAATGGAAGCTGTTCCGAGTAAAGCTGCCTTTTGCAATTGACTGATGGTGACTTTGTCAATGCCGATGGTGTTCAAGGGGTGCTCCAATTGTTTTGCAATTATTAAAATAAGAGCTTCATGGTGCAGTGGTCGGAATGCGGTATTGCAGGCTAATTCTGCCGACTGCCAGCAGTTCGATCCTGACAGGCTCAAGGTTGACTCAGCCTTCCATCCTTCTGAGGTCGGTAAAATGAGGATCCAGATTGTTGGGGGCAATAGGCTGACTCTGTAAACCACTTAGAGATGGCTGTAAAGCACTGTGGAGTGCTACACAAGTCTAAGCATTATCACTAGTGCTATTATTGATCAATATTGAGGTCAGAACCAGTTTGGTGTGGTGGTTAAGGCACCAATCTGGAAACTGGAAAGATGTGAGTTCTAGTCGCATCTGAAGCACAAAGCCAGCTGGGTGATTTTGGGCTAGTCCCTCTTTCTCAGCCCTAGGAAGGAGAAGGTGGCCAGAGCAAACCACTGTTGAAAAGCTTTGTCAAAAAAATTGCAGGGACTCGATTGTTCATAAGATGGATAACATTTTTCAATGTCCAAAATCTGGGTGCTTTAGGCCTGGCAGACATCCTGAATAGCAAAATCTACGTTGGAGCAGATTTCCTGAATTTAAACCATTTTTAAAAAATAAGCGATGAAAAGAGCCTTGGTAGTACAGTGGTTTAATGCACCCTGTTATTAACACAGCTGCCTGCAATTTCTGCAGGTTCGAATCTTACCAGGCTCAAGGTTGACTCAGCCTTCCATCCTTTCTAAGGTAGGTGAAATGAGGACCCAGTTTGTGGGGGCAATAAGCTGACTTTGTATAAATATACAAAAGTATGAAGGCTATTGCTTAATGCATTGTAAGCCACCCTGAGTCTCCGGAGAAGGGCGGCATATAAATCAAATAAAAAATACAAAAAAAACCTATGGGGAATTCAGAAGGACTAGCAAGTCATATCCAGGGTGGAAGTGCTGACATTTTGGCTGGACACTGAAGAGCAAAATCTAAGCTTGAGTGCAGGAAATAGATCCCTCTCTGATATTTTTGTCCCATACAATTGCTAAATTATAAGTTGCGTTGAAAATTTCAGAGATCGTATCACACAATATCAGATGGGCATTTCTATCCCTGAATTTTATCCCCGAGTACTCGTTATTTCATTACTATGTTTGTAGACTCTTTTCATTTTCTCAGATCTAGAGACAGGGAGGAAATCTGACTTTCACATAAAAATATCTATACAGTTGTTTCAAAGTAAAGATTTTTTTTATTTAATTGTTCTCGATGGGGGAAAACTATAAGCGTTATAGTTCCTCTGTCTATTTTTATTATTCGGTATTCTTCCGTTGTAATGTGACTTTTAATATACAATGCAATCCACATTTCAGTTTTATTTTGCCTGTTTTGCCTGTTTATAATGAATAATGAATTTATGTTGATTATGAATTCAGGTCTTAATTTTTTTTATTTGTTTCTCCACGGAACATTGATAATCATTTTTAAAAACAGTGTCAAATTAACATAATACTAAAATACTAAAAATGGCATTTAATTAAACAGCAGGCGAAATTCACATTTTTTCCTTCTAGCCTGAAGTAATATTTTCTGTTGTTTCATGTTAAATATTAATTCAAATGAAACTTCAGTAGGATCAGAATTAATGGTATGATTGATCAGAAAGCTAAACTTGAGCTGACAGTCTTCTATCACCCAATTTAATGTGGCTCTCACTGAAGGATAATTGAGGATAATTATATGGCATAAAATCCATACCTTTGTAAAAAAAAACAACTGTGAATTTTTATTCGCTAAATAACTACCATTTAGACTAGTGGGGAATTCTGGGAGTTGAAATCCACACATTTTAAAATTGCTGAGATTATGGAACGCTGATTTAGGACTAGGGGCCTTATTTATAAGGCAGTGGATATTAGGTCTTGCTATGAAATCATAACATTTCAGTAGAACTATACTTTGCCTTAGTTAAATCTTAGATAAATTTGAAGCATTGCTACGTTCGTGAAAATAAAGCTTCTAGTTCTATGGGTCAAATTACATGTTACATTAAGCACAAACTCTTACGTCTGAAGGGCAGTGTGGTGGCTCAGAGGTTAAGACACTGGGCTTGTCGGCTGGAAAGTGGACACCCTGGGTTCGAGACCCAAATGCCACGTGATGGGGTGAGCTCCCGACCTCACCCCAGCTCTTGCTAACCTAGCAATTCGAAAACATGCAACTGTGAGTAGATGAATAGGCACCACTTCGGTGGGAAGGTAACAATGCTCCATGATGTCATGCTGACCTCATGATTGCAGAAATCTCTTTGGCTACTGAGCCTTCCGCCTTCAAATGGAGACGAGTATCCCCTCCTATAGTCGGCAACGACTAGCGGAGTAAAATCCTCAGGGATTCCTTAATTCTTAAGTAGGATCCCTAGATTGTAATCTTCATAAACACAGGGGACAGGACCTCATTGCTTGCATCATTTTGACCCCAACAGTGTCAAAATATGATTCTGCAAGTGTCTCTCCATTTGGATATCTGTATATGCAACGTGCATAGAAAGAAAAAAAAAAGGGCTTGCATTGCAGTGGTATAAATCTGCTTTCTTCATTCTGACCAGTTCTCCCTTTACCCTCAAAGATGGTGTTGCAAGGAAAGAAACTCCTCAGGCATTTGACTTATGTAGTTTACTGCCTGGACATGTTTTTTTTAATCCTTTATTCCTAACACATCCACGAAGGACATAGAATTTCAGGAAAATGAACGGTGGGGGCTGGATGAAATTAAGCTTTTTTTAAAAAAAAAATGGTTTAATGTAACATGGAGTTAACTTTCAATCTCATTCTGATAGTTAGAGATCCGTATTATAAATGAATGCCAATATTTCCTGTTAGGTCTTGAACACTAGGGAAGCTAAAGGGCACATCAGCTTGCTCTATCGCCTGTATTTCTCAAGGGAAAAAAAAATGAGAACAGAGCATTAAAATGTATATTGTTACATCAGCGAATAAGTCCAAAACTCTATCTTGTATGCCTCAGCATTGAAAGCATGCTAAAGCATCTACAATGTTCTGAGCTCAGATGTAGGTCGAATGTCAAGCTTTTCAATGGGATGAGTGACTAAAAAATAAAATAAAATAGTAATAGCAACTTTCATGCTATGGTAGATGTGCTGTACCATTCCCCGTGCAATTAAGATCACAATAAAATATATATTTTTTTTCACCACCATGATGCAGTGCTGTATTTAGTTTAAGAGAGATGGGACATTCCTGATTACAGGCAAGGTTTTCTGGAATATCAGTCTGTGGGTTATGGCAAACGGTCCACTAAGATCTCCTTAAAATGAACTTTACTCGTTGAAGTATTTATGAATGACAGGAAAAAAAATTACTTTTTTTTTCCTTGACGAGTTTCTTGAGACCATATTTGTAAATAATGCAGAGACATGCACATCTGTCGGTTTGGAGGAGCAAAGAATCTCTCTGCTAGCACTCTCCAGGACTTTACAAGCTTTTGTTACTACAGGTTTACACAGAGAGGAGAAGAAATCACCACAGACACCAACGAGAAGGCAAATGACAAAACATTTTCTAAAGCTGCAGAACACCAGAGCCGGATCATAACTACAAGCAGTTCTATGTGTTGCTCCCAGAGAATTAAGTCTTTCCTCGTAATTGGGGATAGCCAAAAGATTTAGTAGCTCTCTCGTTTTTTTTTACGATGCCCAAATTTGCTTTTGAGTCAAAGCAGATCGAATTCAACATCTTCCCAAGTGGATAGATGCCCACGAATGAGCAACTGATGCTCTAATTTAAGTGAGATTTGGGTCATTCTAAACCGGGAGCAAAACAGCACACCTTTAAACCACACACACACACACACACACACACACACACACACACACACACACACTTGTTTCCACACAGCTTTGCATGCCTTTACCACGAGGTTAAAATTACTGGTAAACAAGAAGCCGTATAAGAGGTGCAACATCTGCAGATCCTTTGAAGATGCCAAAGTGTTGCAGTAACTTCTCTGCAGTTGGATCATATGAATAATGCCAAACTGTCAGGAAGCCAGGTATCTTGTTCACAAATCTACTCCAAATCCACAGGAAATAAGAACTAAACAGAAAGAATATCACAGACTACACAGGATGATAAAGACAGAAGCAGGGACGGGAGAAAGAAAACAGCCGATTTCAGGATATGCAGGTTCAGTCAGGTTCATCCGAATGGGGTCGAGAATGAAGAAAATGCCAGGGTGACGTTGGAGAGGCATTCAGATGAAGGAAATTAAAAGAGAAATCAAAGGGATTTGGTGAGGCATGCCTTGTTGTTCTCAAAGACACAACAACTGCATGGCAGGTCGGTTCACGTTTAGTACTTGAATATCAGCACAATAAACGCAAAATGGACCGGCTCAAAGTCGGGGGTAAGAGGTTAACCCATTCAAATATTCCAGTCAAAAGTCTTGTATGGAAAAGCTACACGAAGGCCATCGTTAGAACTGTAGTAGCTTCTGGGTGGGGAGATATTTCAGTTATTTTGATTCAGTGTTAGGCTCAAAACTGAAAGCGGAAACGAACGAACAAACAAACAAACAAACAAAAAAGGCATTTAGACGCTACTAATGAATGGTGGAAGGGACGGCATGAAGCTCCATGTGGAACAAAAAGTCTGGAAGGACACTTGATGGGGGAATTTGAACAAGGGTAGCAAATGTAAAAGCAACAAATAGCAGAAGTTAATAGACACGAAGCAGACACTGTTACAACAAAACACAGGAACATAAAACAGGGGAAGAGGAGTACTGGACAGGAGAGACAGTTCTCCTATTGAATGAAATCGGATATAACTTTTCCTATTGGATTAATCTTTTCTCCTAAGGCAACGTTGCTAAATGTAATTTATATGGGTATTATTCCTGCAAAGAAGTTAGTGCAGAAGACACAAAAGAAAAAACAATGCAGAAACCAACTGTTGCTATCAATTGTTCTCTCCTCTTTGAAACTTTGGGGCTCGTTATATATATGTATATATATATATAAATATAAAATCTGTACATATATTATATACATATATATTTATATATGTGTGTGTGTGTGTGTGTGTGTGTGTAAATGTGAAAGATAGACAAAGATGTTATCTTCCTGTATTCTTGGTAAGGAATTAGTCCTGAAGTTAGAAGGATTGGAGGTAGGATTGAGGTTGGAAGGTAAAGTAACGAAGAGGGCATACCGCTTTCGACTTCTGCAAACGACAAGAAAAAAATTTGCAAATCAAAACACTTGGATAAGAAATGAACTGACACCCCCCCAAAAAAACAAAAAACCAAAGGCCAGAACAATAAATAAATAAATGAGTTAATAACCCAAAACACTTTGATTTGAAATTCTTCAAATCTACTTTTCCCCTTTTTTTTTTTAAAAAAAAAATTAAATTATTATTATGATGATGATTATTATTTTTTTAAAAAAGGATTTCTGCTGGGAATGAAGACAAATAAAATGGAAAGACAGGAGAAAGGTCCAACAGAGGGATAAACATGGGGGTACGAGAGAAGAATGTTAATTTTCATTTTGTTTCGTTATTTTTTTTTATTATAGAGCTGGCAAATAAATAAATAAGTAAAGCCCCCTGCCACCGAATTAGAATTTGACAAAAGAGGCCCTGACTTTTTAATGGGTTCGCGTGGAATTACCATTATTTTACCAATTTTCTCTAAGAGCGCTCTTCCCAGGGATATTTCAGGTTTTTTGTTTTTTTTTACTTTTTCTTAAAAAATGCAAGGAACATCAAAGGCGTATGGACTACATTTCTTTAACAAGTTCAGCAAAGTGTCCTTATTCAACCCAAACTGCAAAATACTGCAGGGTGCTTAGAAAACCATTTCCATCGAAGCAGTACCCTGTTTCCCCTAAAATAAGCCCTCCCTTGATAATAAGCCCAATCGAGTTTTTGAGTGCATGCACTAAAATTAGCCCTCCCCTGAAAATAAGCCCTCCCCCAAAATAATTAAATGCATGCACAGCCGGTCCCCGCCATTTCCTCTGGTTTCCTCCATGCACCCCAAAATAATAAGACCTCCCTGAAAATAAGGCCAAGTGCTTATTTTGGGGTTCAAAAAAAATTAAGACAGGGTCTTATTTTCGGGGAAACATGGTAGTAAAACATATGCCCAAATGCAAGGGATTTCAGGAGAATAACTTGATTCTTAGGTCCGTAATCCAGCTAGGAATTGGAAGAAGGACTGATTTCGGTGCTGTTTTCAGAACGCACACATTTGTGTGGGGACAATGGGCAATGCATCTTCCCCAATGATTCAGTCAACCACATGAGTGCGTTCCTATGGGCTACGATGTTCCATAGGAGAGAGAAAGGACCATTCCATGTTTCAGAAACATAATTTATCTTTGAACAAAAACTTTAATAGATCATCCTCAACTATACAATGTTACTGCTGAATCGAAGTGTTGATATGACTAAGGTATCCATGATTAAGGAGCTTGGTTCTGCTTATCTGTGTTTAAAAGCCAATTCTACAACATGCAAACCACTTTTTCAATTCTTAGCTGCCTAAATTCCCTGAATTCCTCTTTAATCTAAAAGAGACTAATCTAGTATATAATCTCCAAGTCCTTTGGAAGGCCACAAAGGGGGAAATAGATTAGCCACAAGTTAAAGGAGAAATAGATTGTCCAGTACTTCTGAAAGGAAAATGATGGCTGTTACACATGTTAGTAATTTGCAACAAAAGAAATTACAGCAGAGAAACAGAGGTGGAATTCATGAATGTAAGTGCTAATGAATCTTAGGCAAGCAATTGTTAATATTTCATTTGCGTTTGTTATCCATTTTAGTAATGAGTATTGAGCCTGGGTCAAAATCAAGTTTTGGATATTTTTTTTTTTTTATATATATATATATTATATCAAGGGGGCTGTCGAGCGCCAGTATTTATTTTCAATATATTCCTGAACGAAATGGTGAAAATGCTGGAGCTCATGCTTCTTGCAAATGGGATGTCTCTAAAATAAATTAGATATTAATATTCGATAACATAAAACAAATCACTGGGGTCACAGGAATTTATTATTATTATTTTTTTGCATATTGTTTCTTACAAGAGATGCAAATGACAAGATGGGGTATGATTGCTATAAACCTCGGCATAACTAGGAAATTTGAATCTGGGTTTTCGTTTTTTGACATATATCAAAAAACAATGAAAAAGGGGAAGAAAACCTGACACGGGGTGAAACCACTCAATAATTGGGAAAGAGGAAATTGTTTTTTTAAAATGACAAAGGGCAAATTAGGTGTCACGGAACTGATCTCTGTTCAAATTACATTTGATGCTGGGATATCTTTGTATGCAGGGAAAGCAACATGAGAAACTCTTCATCCGAGATGTTGAATTTCAAGGATCTATTTCAGGTTGAATAAAGTACTTCTTCTCATTTTCTACTCAGCTTTGATTCTTTGAATGATTCAAAGTGCTTCCCAATCACATCAATAGGTTAAAGTTCGACCAGTGCTGTGAAGATAACTGTGATGAGATGTCAGATGTGGCTGCCAAATGTACTTGTACCATTAAAGGAGAATCTTTGTAGCTTAGGGTTGAAATGAGGGGTCCTGGGTGGGTTTTTTGCAGACATTTCATTACCTGATGACTAGCATTGATGATGTTACCTAGTTTGGGTCATGAATTGCCTGCAGGAAAACCACTCAGAGAGCACCAAGGACCCCTCAAATGTATCACTGAAGTCAGCAATTCTTCTTCTACTAGGATTTTTATCTAAGCAGGAGAAGAAACTGAAGGAGAGAAGCTGGGGGGAAAAAAAAACTTTGTTCACCTTGAATTGTGAAATGGGAGGAAGGATGTCCAAAATATGTCCAAAATAAATAATTTAAAGATGTTGGATCTAACCTAGCCTTGATTCACTTAAAAATCTGTCTGGTGGCACTCAGAGCCATAAAGAAAGCTAATGTTGTGGTCCGCCAGCAGCCTGCGGAGCTAGCAGTGGAATCGGACAGCGATGAAGCTGAGGAAGAACATGGGCCAGTCCTGGAAGCTGGGGAAGGCCCAGATGAGGGCCCTGCATCAGAGGCAGAGATGGGGCCAGGGCTCTGGGAGTGGGGTGCAGACTCCAGAGCTTCCAGAGACTGATAGGAGTGAGGCGGAGGAACAGGAGGAGCCTGTTCCTAATCCACACATGAGAAGAACTGCCAGAAGGCAAGAGCAGCTCAAGCAAAGAGGACAAGTCGGGAGTAGGGCCAAGAGATGATTGGCCCCTCCCATAAGGCTTAAAACAGACCAGCAACAGCATTTGGGCTTTGCTGGAAAACAACGTTGGTAGCTTCGTCTTCTTCTTCGTCTACATCTTGTATTTATTTTTGTATCTGTGACTTCTGAACATTTGCCAAGAAAGGCCTTTGGCAGTTCGTCTAATTGGACCAAGGTTTGCGATAGGACTGAGGAATTTGTGTTGGGAGGAATTTGCTTTAATTTAGTTGAACGACGCTGGGAATGAAGTAATTCTCAGCTGTTCAAATAAAGTTTGTTTGTTTTTTCACTGACTGATTTTCCTATTACTTACTTGGGCCTGGGTCACAGTCTCCCAGGTGGAAAAAAATGAAGTTTTGCCAAACCGTGTGAGATTTTCTTAACTAGCATTTTGGAGAAGCCGAGCAGAGTAAAAAAAGATTCCTGTAATGAAGAGTTTGTAACACTTTTTGTTGTTGTTGACGTTCCTCAGTTTGGATTCCCAGTGGTGGAACAAGTCCATTTGTCTATTTCTTTGGGGTTACCTCAGCTTCTTCTGAAAAAGCAGCAATGGGAAATAAAACAGAGGCTGCAAAGATATTAAAACTACTGAGGGGAAAAAATGCTGCCTAAATAAGAGAAGCACAGATGTTTGGACAGTGGGGGTTAAAAAAAAGTTGACTATGGTAATGTGATTGAAACACCACCCATTTTTTATATGACATGTGGCCATTTTGGCCACCATTTTTAACTTTTTTGACCCTATCCTGTAAATCTCACTTCTCTCCTGTCTTCAATATTCTGCTCATTTTATCAAACACGCTACATTCTTAAGCCAACAGCCCTCAATTTTTCGGGCACTAAGGACTGTTTCCATGGGGACAGAATTTTCTGTGGACCAGAAGGAGCGTAGCTTCTGTGCTGCCTGCATTCCACGGATGGGGCTTCACTTGTTTGCATGGACCAGTTCCTGGCATGTCGTGGCCCGGTTGCGTTGGGGACCCCTATTCTATAGAGCGATAATTTTCTAATGATGTTCCATAATTTTAATTGAAATTATTTCACTCTTTGGCACATTTTGTGGTAAGATTTAGCTTCACCAAAAAATATGCACGTGATGTCCAAGGTAGGGGATGTATATTAGTTCAAAGAAAATAAATGTTGGCAAGATTAGTAATGTTATTTAAAAATGGAGAGCGGGTGCGATTATAAGGGGAAAATCTCTCTCCCTCTCTCCCTCTCTCTCTCTCCTATCTATCTATCTATCTATCTATCTATCTATCTATCTATCTATCTATCTATCTATCTATCTATCTATCTATCTAGTATGTGTTAAGCTATCACAGAGCAGAATGAGAAACACCATGAACGGAAGATATGAAATCTGCAGGAAGCTGTAGAATTTTCCAGTTCCAGAATTCAACTTATGAAGTCTACAGTTAGGCCAGATTTGGTACAAGGTTAATGAAGAACTTCAATAAAATGGAACCAGGATACCATTTTTCACCCTTAGCACCTTTAAGGGATGGGGACCCCAGCTTTGTGTGGATAGCTGGGGAATTCTGGGAATTGAAGTCCACATGTCTCAAAGTTGCTAAGGTTGAGGAACACTAAACTAGAAGATGCCACCTGCTGAGTCCATTGGAATGTTGGCTTTGGTGGCCATCGCAGCAGGATGCATTGAGAAGATGTCCAAATTCAAGTCCAGGTGTGAATTAGATGGGCTTCCATTCTTCCTAACTATATTAATGGTTGCATTCTATCCATTGTGCATCAACCACTACCTCCGGTTTTTAAAATAAGAAGACCTACATTCAAATCCTTTTCAATAAGGAAAGTCAACTCTATTTCCATGAGATTATTTCTATTTCTATCGCCATTCTTGAGATTAGTTTAAGGTAGAACATGGTCACCAAAAATTAGATTGTTGGGAAGTTAATGATAAGACTAAACATGTACAATATCCAGGTGGGTTTGACTTTGAAGAAGGATTGGTGGGCTAAAAGGCATGGCACAAATCACCAACGGCTCCTTGATGGGCTTCTGAGCTTGGTTGTTTCCTTGAAGACTTTTCATTACCCAAAGTAGGTAACATCATCAGTGCTAGGTCTTGCATTTTTAGAGGCTGGGAGTTTTTTGGGTTTTTTTTAACAGAAATGATAACTATCTTATGATTCTTGATGAATGTATCTTTTCTTTTATGTAACCTGAGAGCATATGCACCAAGACAAATTCCTTGTGTGTCCAATCACACTTGGCCAATAAAAATTCTATTCTATTCTATTCTATTCTATTCTATTCTATTCTATTCTATTTCTATTCTATTCTATTCTATTCTATTCTATTCTATTCTATTCCATTCCATTCCATTCCATTCCATTCCACTCCACTCCACTCCACTCCACTCCATTCATTCTTCTATTCTATTCTATTCTATTCTATTCTATTCTATTCTATTCTATTCTATTCTATTCTATTCTATTCTATTCTATTCCTGGATCATTATCTTTTATAATGGGGAATGGAGTTAAGTTCAAATGGTCTTCTAAAAATGTCATCAATAACTCCAAGCTTGAAGAAATGGACCAAAAGAAGCCATATATGAATCTCCTGTTCAACTTGAATGATGATCTGGTGAAATATTTTTTTTCCTGTAATGCATTTCTCTGTTTGCCTGGTGTAATATATATAACTCTATCTGTAATCTTTCAAGCCACGCTTTGCATAGGATTCAGATTGCAGCAATCCTATGTATAGAGTTATATACATCACTTGGAAATACTTACCCTCATTCAATTGTATTGGGTTATGTAGAATTATCAAGGAGGAACTGAACTGGGATTCTAAGCTGTCCTTCATCAAGTCTGCCTAGGTGTCATTTTAATTGAGAATTTACATTCTTTAATGTAAGGTGTCTCCTTACATTCTCCTAATGTAAGGAGACTGGTTTCAGGGCAATTTTAAATTAACATCATGCACTTCATCAGTTTTATTGGACTTTGAGGCATGATGTTGCCTTTTGATTGGGTATATAAGTGGGCACCATGATGTCAAGAGTGTCTGGAATATAAAATTTTTTTATAAATATAAACACCCATCCAAAGAGCAAGAAACAAAGAAAGGAAAAGAATGAATGAGAGAAAGAAATTTAAGCAGGCCAAATAATCAAAGATGCACTACAAAAAGGTTCTGATAAATGGGTTACATACCTGCTTTCCCGTTTCTCCGACTTGTATTCTATGGCTATCATTAAAAGCTTTAGCTTCGCAAAGACCAGTCTGCCAGGAACAAAGCAGAGGGAAAGAAAACAAAACCAGAAGATGGTCTTTATTTTGTTGATATCATGAGTACTTTGCTGTTGTCCTTAAGGTTATCTACATATAGACCTTTATAAAATATAGTTTAGCTCTTTGCCTGCACTCCTCAACTTTGTCAAAGTCTTTACAACCTTTAGTAACAGCAAAATATATCAACGGAAGTTCTCTATGTTCATCTGGCTGCAAATATCTCAATTATTCATAGGAATAATGCTTTGATAAACCCCTGAGCCCTTTCCCCCCATATCAGGGGTGAAATCCAACAGGTTCTGACAGGTTCTGGAGAACCGGTAGCAGAAATTTTGAGTAGTTCGGATAACCAGCAAATGCCACCTTTGACTGGCCCCAGAGTGGGGTGGGAATGGAGATTTCGCAATATCCTTCCCCAGGAGTGGGGAGGGAATGGGTATTTTGCAGTATCCTTCCCCTGGAGTGGGGTGGGAATGGGTATTTTGCAGTATCCTTCTCCTGCCACGCCCACCAAGCCACGCCCACAGAACTGGTAGTAAAAAAAATTGGATTTCACCACTGCCCCATATGCATTTTATGTTCAGATTCTTCCCAGAGCAGAAGTGATATTATAGATTGTCTTCACATCTATTTTAACTGTGAAACATTAGATTATAATGGGTGCATTTTGAACATAGATATACATGGGTAATTTGCTTTAAGGAAATCATAATCCTTTTATCTTCCAATAAGAAATAAATTACTCCATTTAAATCAGAAGAGGAGGGCCTAAGCTATTGCTTACATAAATTGGTGGAACCTACATGTTTAATTCATTGAAATATGCAGGAAATAACTATATCTGTTATTTTCTTGATATAACTCTAAAATAACTATATCTGTTATTTTCAGTGTCTTGCCTTATGATTTTCGGATTTGTCTTCACGCATTTGGGGACCATTAATGAATAGAGATCCTCAACTTACGACCACAGTTGAGCTAAAAAAGTATGTTGCTAAGCCAGACAGTTGTTAAGTGAGTTTTGTCCCATTTTATCACCTTTCTTGCCACAGTTGTTCAGGGAATCACTGCTGTTGTTACATTGGTTAACCCGGTCATTAAATGAATCTGGCTTTGCCAGATTCATGCTTTTCAGAAGGTCACTGAAGACGATAACATGATCTCAGTTTATTGCAACCATCATAAATACATGGTAGTGGCCAAGTGTTGAAATTTTGATCGCGTGACCAAGGGGATGCTTCAAGGATCGTAAGCAGTAGTGGGTTTTAATTTCAGCCACTACCGGTTCGCTCATGGATGCACGTGCACCTATATGTGCAATGCTTCTGCACATACGCAGAGAGGTCTGGATGAGTAGGCGGAGCCTCCCGCCATCGCTACCAGTTTGCCCGATCCAGAGTGAACCGGAAGCAACCCACCACTGATCGTAAGTGTGAAAAATGGCATTGTCACTTTCTCCAGCGCTGTTGAACGCTCATTAACAAATGCTTGTAAGTCGAGGTGTACTTATACAGGAATGTTCAGCCAACATGCTACGTTCAACCAGTTATGCATAGCAAAGACAGATATTTATACATCCAAGCTACAAATAAATATTGTAAGGTGTCATAGACACGTGTCACATTTGTGCTGTTGCATATCTTTAGGCATCAAATGTGAAGCATTTCATTAGATGAATGAAATCAATCAATTGGAATAGAGCTGGAAGAGACCTTGGAGGTCTTCTGGTCCAATCTGGGTCCTCATTTTACCGACCTCGGAAGAGTGGAAGGCTGAGTCAATAACAATTGAACTTAGACTTATATACCGCTTCATAGTGCTTTACAACCCTCTCTAAGCAGTTTACAGAGTCAGCCTATTCCCCCCAACAAGCTGGGTCTTCATTTTACTGACTTCATAAGGATGGAAAACTGAGTCAACCTTGAGCTGAGCAGAATCGAACTCCTGGAGGTTGGCAGAGTTTGCCTACAATACTGCATTCTAACCACTGTGCCACCACGGCTCTTTACATGGCCCCTGGATACTGCAACCATCATAAATGTGAATCAGTTGCCAAGCGTCTGAATTTTGATCATGTGATTGAGGGGAGACGAGAAAGGTCATAAGTGTGAAAAATGGTCGTAAGTCACTGTTTTCAGTACCCTTGTCACTTTGATCAGTCACTAAATGAACGGTTAAGTTGAGGACTGCCTGTAACATGATGTCAGAGGGTAAGAACTACAATTCATTAACACCCTTTCCTTTATAATTATACCTAACGTTAGATAAAATTGATAGTAATAAACACAGGGATTTCTTTTCAAGGGCCATGTAAAACAATTGTTTTAAGATTGACTTTCAACATCCATAGAGCCTTTATCATGACAATCAGGCCCTGTGGGAGACATTTAGTTATCATGCAAAATGTCACAGAAGCCATTCCAAATTTTATGCTTAGCTGATGACATTGCATTACATCTGCTAGAATTTATTAGCCCTGGGAAATGTTAATGTTGACTGTTAATGGGGCAATGATAAACCTTCGCAAATGATTGCGAACCCTTACGATAATGAAGACTTAATTTACAAATCAGTTTTATTCACTGGCCGAATGGAATTCAAAAGCGTCGAATGTTGGAAAAAATGGCTTTTGAAAAACATCCCTGTCAAAACTGGCCCCAAAAGGAAGCAAAAAATGAGAAACATGGAAATTTTTCAAGTTTTTACGATAGCCAAATCCCTTTTCTTCAAAGAACAAATTTCTAATCTCTGAGAAATTTCTAAGTGCTGGAATGGAGGGATACATAAATTTTTATCAATTGGAGCTGATCGTCGCCTGTATGAAAATGTAATGAATATAACTGTATTCTTATCTTCAAATCAGTTACAGACAGGTAGAGATATGTGTATGCATAAAAATTATAATTTGACACCCAACATATGTCACACCTAACAAGGTTTTTATCCCAATTTAATAACAATAATAAATTATTCTATCTAGCTTAAATAAGATTAAATGGACTAAGAATTGTGAAGCTGTTTAGCATTTTATTTTTAAAACAGCCATCATTTATTGTAAATTAAAAATGTTCACAATCCTGTAGTACAGTGGACTAAGCACTGTTATTAAGAACTGCTGCCTGCAATTTACTGCTGGTTCGAATCTCTCCAAGGCTCAAGGTTGACTCAGCCTTCCATCCTTTCTAAGGTAGGTGAAATGAGGACCCAGATTGTGGGGGCAATAAGCTGACTTTGTATAAATATACAAAAGTATGAAGGCTATTGCTTAACACATTGTAAGCCGCCCTGAGTCTCCGGAGAAGGGCGGCATATAAATTAAAAAAGCAAAAAGCAAATAATCCACAAAATGGCATAGAAAAATTCCAAAGTGATCCCTAAATGGAACTGACCGTCGGTACATTCAAATGTTTGAAATTTAATCTTTTCTTGAAAATCTCCAGTGATGGGAGCTCCCACAATTCTGGGAGCTGTTTCATAGAAAGGGTCCTTGGTGCTCTCTGAGCTGGCTTGTTTTCTTAAAAACGTTTCATGACCCTAACTAGATAACATCATCAGTGCTAGTAAGGAGTGAAGTTTGCTCTCAGTTTATATTCTGGAGGCTTGTCCTGTCTATGTGGGTGGGGGCGGTCTTAGAGATTCTTTCATTGGGCTATTTACTGATGGCTCTTGGGCAGTTTCTTGATTGGGGTGTTGTATACTTGATTGTTGGTCTGAAGCAGTGGTGGGATCCAGCCGGTTCTATCCGGATCGCGCGAACTGGTAGCGGCGACTGTGGGAGGCTCTGCCCACCCTCCCGGATGTAATGCGTGACTACTGCACATGCAGAGAAGTTCGTGTGCAGAGATGGCACATACGCTCATATTTGCGAACCGGTAGGAAAAGTAAATGAATCCCACCTCTGGTCTGAAGTTAAACTTGGAGTTAATCTATGCTGATCTGGGTGCTGATTATTGGTGGAGAGAGTGCTGGGGTCTTTTTGTTCCCCTTTGGGCTGGATGATTGTTTCTTTTGCACAGTCTATATATGTTGTTAATGTCTCGGTGTCTATTGATGGCTATCATTGTTTCAACGTTCTTGCTGTCAGGAAATTCTTCCCTTACTACTAGCTGCAGTGGCACAGTGGTTAAAGTGCAGTACTGCAGGCTATTTCTGTTGACTGCTGGCTACAGTTTGACAGTTTGATTCTTATCAGCTCAAGGTTGACTCAGCCTTCCATCCTTCTAAGGTGGGTAATGTGAGGACCCAGATTGTTGGGGGCATTATTCTGACTTTGTAAACCGGTTAGAGAGGGCTGTGAAGCACTGTGAAGTGGCATATAAGTCTAAGTGATATTGGTATTGCCTCAGCCTTCCATCCTTCTGCGGTCAGTAAAACGAGAACCCAGATTGTTGGGAGCATTATGCGGACTCTGTAAATGGCTTAGAGAGGGCTGTGAAGCACTATGAAGAGATATATAAGTCTAGTGCTATTGCTATTGACTCAGCCTTCCATCCTTCTGTGGTCAGTAAAACGAGAACCTAGATTGTTGGGGACAATAGGCTGACTTTGTAAACCGCTTAGAGAGGGTTGTAAAGCACTGTGAAGTGGTATATAAGTCTAACGGCTATTGCTATTGTTTTTCAGCATTTTAGCAAACCATCAGGTTAGGATTAAGGGCAAAGATGTCTTCGAGTACTTACTCACAAACAGCAGGGAATGACAGACCAACAAAGGCACTAGAAAGATACTCCGTGTACATTTCATTAGATACTCCTTCCAAGTAGTACTTCTGCCAAGTGTCCTCTTCGATCTAGAAAGGAGAGCAAAGAAGAAGAAAAACGGCAGCTGCATTTTTAATAGGAAACGGCTGTGAATAACACAAATCAGTTTCAGGAAATTAAGATTGGTATTTACTTTATTTTTTACTTTATTTTTATTTATTTTATTTTGTTGAGTACGTATTAGATAATATATATAAGCATGAATTGAATACATAAAATGAATACAATTAAAGGGAACATTAGGACAGGGACCGTAGGCACGCTGGTGCTCTTATGCACGCCCCTTACAGACCTCTTAGGAATGGGGTGAGGTCAACAATAGACAGTCTAAGGTTTTGGGGGTTTTGGGATGAAACCACAGAGCCAGGTAGTGCATTCCAGGCATTGACCACTCTGTTGCTGAAGTCATATTTTCTGCAATCGAGTTTGGAGCGGTTCACTTTAAGTTTGTATCTATTGTGTGCTTGTATATTGTTGTGGTTGAAGCTGAAATAGTCATTGAGAGGTAGGACATTATAGTAGATAAATTTAAGAGCTATGCTTAGGTCAGACCAAAGGCAGCGTAGTTCTAAATTTTCTAAACCCAGAATTTCAAATCTGGTGGCATAAGGTATTTTGTTGCGAGCAGAGGAGTGGAGGACTCTTCTTGTGAAATATTTCTGGACACACTCAATTGTATTAATGTCCGATATGCAGTGCGGGTTTCAGACAGATGAGCTGTATTCAAGAATTGGTCTAGCAAAGGTTTTGTATGCTCTGGTTAGTAGTGTAATATTAACGGAGAAGATATTTAACTTTATTTAATATTTATTTAATATTACCGGAGAAGTTATTTATATTTAACTCTTCTTTTTAAAAAGAAAAACTTTCTGAATTAGGCCTGTTCAATTTCTATAATTTTCTCTTTTCCTTTTTTTATTATTGACCAGAGGAGTGGGGAGGGAAACATACAGTATTTAAGAAAAAGATCAGGTGAAAAATATTACCGGCAAAATATAATTTGGGCAGTTTTGATCCGTCTTTTCAATATGTTGCAAGAGCTTTGGAGAATGCGAACTTAATAAACAAGCTCCATTTGTGAAATATGAATTGGGTCGGATAATTCTGAAGATAAGATCCCTTTCTACGAACTTCACATAAGATCCCTTTCTACGAAACTCAAGAACCGAGTTTCTAAAATGCCTCAAAACAACAACAACTGTATTTTTGCTCAAATATATACAGTCGTTATCAAAGTCTACACAACGTTCACTTGAAGCACAAGCTTCTTTTTCCCCGTTTTTGCAAAGTTGCAAAATTTACAGGCAAGATGCTAACTCAGATATTCCCAAGGTCCCAGTGGAACATGATTTTCAGATAAGAATCTCTACCCATTGTAAGTTACAAGGCTGTAGCTCACTTTTATGATTGTGTTGTTTAATAAAAAAAACCAAAAACTTTAAAGTAGCCTATTCTTTTCAAACTTTTCACTTACAGCTGATTTTTTTTTTAACTTCGATAAAGTTTGGCAGTGTTTATCATTTTACAAGCAGAAGAGATCTGTCCAAAGACATTTGAGGAATACTGTATATCAACTGCTCCTACTACATCCACACACACACAAAAATATCCCCCAAAATAAAATGGTGATAAAATCTGGGCCTCCTGTCCATGATATTGAAAAGAAACTAGCACATCTATCTCCTTCAACTAGAATACTTAATAAAGAGAGATTTATATCCTTGAATGCGTTTATTCAGCAAAACAAACAGAAGTTTTATAGCTGAAACCTTTGGGCTGAAATGAAACCCACTGTTGTTCTTACAACTTTATTAGCCAATATTGTATAGAAACAGTGAATTTAATGCATCTAATATCAGCAATCATGGGGCTCAGCTGATCTGAAGTGTTGCGCTGAGCCACAGTGTTTTCATAAAAGGAAAGCAAGCAATTGTTTTCTCGTGCCTTGTGAAGGGCTGTTTTAAAAACACCTATGAATTTATTACAAACCTTTCTGGCTCATTTAAGGTCTGTGATTATTTCTCCCGGCCTCGCTTGTTCTTGCATCCTGTACTTAGCAAATCAGTCCTAAGTATCTCATAAATAAAAAAAAAGCCTGCAGCCAACGAATTAGCTAGTTAGCTTGCATTATGCTGAACTCGCCTTGTTTGGTTTGGGCTTAGTCCGGTAAGTGAACACATAACATTTATGATTTATGAACTATGATTTATAGCTTAGCATGGCATGATAATCACATTATTGCCGCTTGATCAACGTGGTTCGACATGCTTAAAGCAAACTATAATGCGATATGGGGAAAGTATTTTATGACATTCAATCTGTGAGGTCCTTGGCGATTTCTGAGCTTGGTTGCTTTCCTCCAGATTTTTTTACTACCCAACTAGGTAACATCATCAGTGCTAGAAGGGAGGGGGGTTTGCTCTCTGTTTATATACAAAAAGGGCTTGCCCTGTCAGTACTGGACAAGCCTAAAAATGCTTACACATTGATCACAGTTTTGCTGTTTTTCCTACAAAGGACCTCTACTTATCTTGAACCCTGTTAACTAGCAGAATCTGGGGGGGGTTGTGTGTGTGTGTGTGTGTGTGTGTGTGTGTGTTTATTATTTATTTATTTATTATTTATTTATTAGTTCAATTTATATGCTGCCTCTCTCTGAAGACTCAGGGCGGTTTACAATGCATTCAAAAAACCACTACAAAAACATTTAAAAATTAAAACATTAAAACCCATTCACACCATTCATGGCCGGATCTCACAAGATGGCAACAGCGAGATCAACGGCCCCAGGCCTGCCGGAAAAGCCAGGTCTTCACCGCTTTTCGAAAGGCCAATAGGGTGGAGGTGGTCCGGACCTCCGGAGGTAACTGGTTCCAGAGAGCTGGGGCAGCCACAGAGAAGGCTCTCCCCCACGGGCCCGCCAGCCAGCACTGTTTAGCTGACGGGACCCGGAGGAGACCAACTCTGTGGGATCTTACCAGGCTCTGGGAGCTGTGTGGTGAGCCATGTAGGGCTTTAAAGGTAATAACCAATGCCTTGAATTATGCCCGGAGACCAATAGGGAGCCTGTGCAGCTTGCGGAAAATTGGTGTAATGTGGGTGTATCTAGATGCACCCACGACAGCTCGTGAGGCTACATTCTGGACCAAATGTAGTCTCCGAACACTTTTCAAGGGTAGCCCCATGTAGAGTGTGTTGCAATAATCTAACCGTGAGGTGACAAGGGCATGAGTGACTATGAGGAGAGCCTCCCAATCCAAGTAGGGTCGCAATTGGTGCACCAGGCAAACCTGTGCAAAGGTTCCCCTAGCCACAGCTGTCATTCTGTTAATATAAATAGAAAGAGCAACATGTTCAAGATCCATATAGACAGTGTGTTGTCTGGGTTAACAAAAATTTTAGAATGTGCAGAAATGAATAAACTAACATTTGAAATTAAAGAAAAGGAAGACACTGAATATTTTGAGGTATGGGGAATATTTTGAGGTATCTGTTTTATCGATGGTTAAATAAGAGAAACAGGAGCTAGAGCTTCTAAAATTACAAGAGAAAGAATAATTTTATTATTAGGGTTGATTACTGTAACTTATTAATTTTGATTAATTTTGATTAGTATTAACAATTAATATGTATTAATACTATGAGGGGAAAACACTGTTATCATGAGATTACTATTAGAGAATACTATTATTATTGCCATGATGAATAGCAGAATCTGTTGCTTGAAATTCTGCTCATTACATTTCTCTGGGTCTGTGTGTTTTTAAAGTAAGCATTTTCAGAAATCTGGTTGGTTATACCTAATAGAATGGCACGGATTTGCCATTATTATTTTGTGTACGTATTGTATGTGGGGGTGGGTTTGCTACAAACTAAGAGGTTCCATATGAAAACCGCTACTCTAAAAGCAGAAAACGAAACAAAATATTCCCCTGCACGTTTTTTATAAGTTTGTTTTGCTACGAATGTTGGGGAGAGGGGTTTACTTGACGTACTTGGGTTGCAAAAATTAAGCCATAATCAGTGAAATGCGTGCAGTGTCGTTGCTGATCATGGAGCTTTGTCATTGACAGAGGAAATATTTAGGGTGATTTCTATTACTCTGCAATCAGCTGCGAAGAAGGAGGGAAGGAAACTCTCCACTTCAATCTACGTTTTCCAAGATGGCAGGACTTCTGCTAAGAGTTTTTTTTTTTTTCCGGGGGCGGTGGGGAGGTGCAGTACATGTACAGCATATTATGCTCTTGAGTTTATTTGCCTGGAGCATTTCCTTATTAGTCTGAAAACGCATGAGAAATTGAGAAGGCTGCTACCTCCCTTCAGCTATACTGAGGGTGGGGGTACAGGGACTGTAGAATACCGTTGCAGAGGACACTTTTCAACACAAGTGTTCTGACCCAGCCTTAGCAGAAGCAAGAAACAGACTTGTTGTCACGAAAAAAAACCCTCTTTATTTACCTCTTGTGAATTAATGGCATTCACCCACCGAAAAGTCCAAGTAAGAGTCCTGCAAGGAGTTAATGGCAGCAACAGACCCTATCGGTTCCTTGCGATAATTGCAAGGCTGTGAGCTCCCAGCCGAAAGGCTGCAAATTAAGTTCTGGCAAGCAGTCTTTGATGCACGAAACACAATGAGCAAAATCTTCAGAAATACAAACTGTTGTCTCCTATGAAACCACTCCCCTTTCCTTCTATTTATTCTCTAGCCAGGGTGGGGCCATTCAGCATCCATGTGTGCTTTGCTTCCCGAGTTGCCGCCTTATCCTCCGTTGTTCACCTCTCCTAACTGCTCTGTGCATACGTGCATCAGGAACAGGCCCCAGCTGTTCTTCCTCCTCACTCATCTCAGCCTCCAAAGGCAGCTGCCTCCCCGGTGGCAGGGAAATGTTGGATGGCCTGGCTCTATCTCTATGTCCGATGCAGAGCATCCATCAGAGCCTTCCCCAGACTCCAGAATTGGCCCAAGATCCTCCCCAACCTCCTCATCATCCGAGTCTGCTGCCAGCTCTGCTTGCAGCTGGCGGGTCACAACAACAAGTTGTTGCCAATTGTAATGTTTCCTGATGCCTGGTGAATTATTGCTGTTATCACAGAATGCAGAATAACAGAGTTGGAAGGGACCTTGAAGGGTCTTCTATTCCAACCCCTTGCTCAAGTAGGAGTCCCTACATCACTTTATAGAAATGCCTGTCCAATTTCTCCTTAAAAACCTCCAGTGATGGAGCATCCACAACTTCTGGTGGCAAACCATTCCACTTATTAATTGTTCTCACTGTCAGGAAATTTCTCCAACTAGGTTGGATCCCACGTTATCTTCCATCTGTTACGTTTTGTCACATGCTGTTAGGATATGGTGTAAGCCTAACAAGTTGTCCAGGCAATATATGTGTTCTATAACTTTAAATGCATTCTGTAACTCTAAGATGTAATTCTGAGTAATTGTACTACTGAGTCATTGTAATGACTAATGACTGCTGACTGACTGCTGACTGCAATTATACTAATTGTACTGTTGAGTCATTGCACTGCTGACTTCACTTATCTTAAGTAGATAATTACTAGTGTAAACTGTATATAAGAAGGAAGCCGAGCTATAGTCATTGTTGGACCTGCTCATCATTGCTTGACTTGCTGCTTGACTGGAACTGTTGATTGGAACTGTTACTGTCGTGTGTGAAGACGTGGATGGATATGCTACCAACGTGATTTGTTACCAGTGTTGAATTGCTGTTTGTATGGTAAGAAGATATCTGTAACTTCGGACTGATTTGAATGGCTAAAGACTTGGATTGATTAAAAGACTATGCAATTGTTTTTCACTACAAAGTAAAAGTTTTGTTAAACCAGTTTGCATGTATTGTATTCATTGCTCTCATTACACTTTCTCTGTGCACTTACTCTGCTGGTTGGTAACACAACAATATCCTTAACACATGCTTTGGAGAATAAGTTGACCCCCCTCTTCTCTAGGGTACCCCCTCAAATTTTGGAAGATGCAATCATGTCACCTGTCATTGTTTTCTTTCTTAGATTAGACATACCTAGTTCCCACAACCGTTCATCACAAAGTTTAGCCCCCATTCCCTGATCATCTTTGCTGCTCTTCTCAATTGTTGCTCTTTCTATTGTTCTCTATATTGTGTACTGTGTGTTAACACTAAGGGTAACAGTAAAGGTTTCCCTGTCCAGGTATTTCTGACTCTAAGATGTAATGCTCATCCCCATTACTTGGCCGGGGAAGCCAATATTGTCCGAAGAAAATTTCTCTGGTCATGTGGCCAGCATGGCTATATATTAAAGGTGCACGGAACGCTGCTACCTTCTCAGCAAAATGGTACCTATTTATCTACTCGCATTAGCATGCTTTTGAACTGCTAGGTGAGAAGGAGCTGGAGCAAGGAGTGGGAGCTCACCCCATTGTGTGGTGCTAGGGTCTCCAACCTAGACTGACAGCTGTTGAGCCATGTTATCAAAGTCTTCCAAGAATGACTTTCTAAGACTATAGTTCATTTCGCAAGATCACATTCATCTAAAAGAAGCAACCCAAATTCTTAAATTGGATAGTGTGGTCAAAAGAGAGAGAGAGAGAGAGAGAGAGAGAGAGACAGACAGACAGACAGACAGACAGAGACAAAGAGAGAGAGAAAGAGAGAGACAGAGACAGAGACAGATAGACAGAGATAGAAAGAGACAGAGAGAGTGAGAGACAGAGAGACAGAGACAGAGAGAGAAAGAGAGAGAGGATGAGGATGAGAGCAAATTAACACTAAGGGAACAAACCGGTAGATGTCTGAGAACATTTAAGAGTTACAGATCTACACTATTTTGATTTTCTCATAAATCCCAGGGGACCTCTTGAATGAAATGAAATAAAGTGAATGGATGAATGATTCGCATTGGAGCTTTGGACTTCGGTACAGATACTTGTTTCATATTTATAATTGCAATCTGAGATGCCCAGGCAATTAATGGAGGCAAAAACGTTCAAGAAAGAAAAACTATTATGCCTTTTGACACCTCCTGTGGGTGGTTTGTTGCCATATGGGTTGGATAGAGATCATATTTTTAACTGCAAAGGATTTCTCTGTTGATAAACATGTGGTTTATCTAACCGGAATAAAGAGTCAGAAAGATTGTGCTATGGACAATCTCTAATGGCCCATGGATGTGCCAAGTAAAAATATAATTAGGAAGGATCCTGGCCCCTTGCCCAATCTGTAATAGCAAAGAGGTTTTTTTGTGTGTGTTTCTCTTAGGGGTATGTTGTTCTACGTTTTAATGTTGATGGATTCTTTTCTGGTTTTGAGTTTAAGCCACGCACTCAAACGCGGCCCCTCGACAAACCGAATCCCATTAAATATCCCCTCACAAAACGAGACGCTACCTTTATAAATGATCTCATGGAGAAGAGGTTTGCCAACATAGTCGATAGGCCTGGTGCCAGGCAGCTTTGGGCAATAAACCCCAGCTTTAGTTCAGCAAGGCATATGGCGTCATCGCCTTCTTTCCAATTCCAGCTTGGAATATTGAGCAGATGGGCCTGCAACAGGGGGGAAAAATAAATAAATAAAACCACAGGTCAGCCACGATCCCTCAAATCTTGGATTATGCATTTTACCATCTCAGGGGAAGGCAAGAGGAGGAGAGGAAAGGGAAAGGAATATCTTTAGCTTTTTGTTTCTTAAAAAAACAACAACAACCCTATTTTTATGTTTTCATCTTGTGGTGAAGTTGGCTGCAGCAAGTCGTCCCATTCCGACTTGTGTGTTTTTCTTTTTTTTGTTTGTTTGTTTTCATTATTGGGAAAACAAACTGCCCTACTCTGGGAGATAAAGAATACAGTATAATAATCATACCAACTTAGTTCATGGACTTCCCACATTAAGAATGTGGTTCTTTTCACAGGGAGGAAATTCAAGCATGTGGACATTTGTCAAAGAGGACACAGACAGATGGTTCAGCATGGACTGCTTCAGGAATGAGAAATAAATTGGCATTTCCCTCCCTTGAAAATAGCTGTCCATCCCACATAAGATGCACAGAGTCAGCATATTGGTCCCTTAACAATCTGGGTCCTCATTTTACCGACCTCGGAAGGAGGGAAAGCTAAGTCAACCTGGAGCTGCTCAGAATCGAACTCCTGGAATGAACAGTGAGTTAGCCTGCAATACTGCATTTTAACCACTGTGCCACCATGGCTCTTATTTTAGATATTATGTCTTAATGTCTCTATTCTAGTGTCTTTTGGGGCAATTGATCAGAGAAATCTTTTATCAGAAAACCTTGCTGGTAAATATCACAGTATTCCTTACCTTATTGTGATACTGCAGCATCTGAGTGATTATTCTTATTTTTGGATGGTAGTTCTTTATAGAAATTACTCTGAAAAAGGGATAAAAAGCATTTCTTGTCATTTTAATTCAGAAATAATCTCATATTTATTCTTGGTAGACTAGCTTCAAAAAGCCCAGATAAAATATGTTAGGGAAAATGGTATCATGAGATTCCTCCTGATTTTTGGCTATGGTAGATTATGTCGAGCAGCAAATCTGCTCCATTATGCTATTATGTGGTGATTTATCCTCAATTTTGCGAGACGAATAACAAGAGCACTTAGACTTATATACTGCTTTACAATGCTTTACAGCCCTCTCTAAGCGGTTTTACAGAGTCAGCATATTGTCCCCAACAATTTGGATCCTCATTTTACTCACCTCGGAAGGATGGAAGGCTGAGTAAACCTTGAGCCTGGTGAGATTCGAACTGTCAAACTGCAGGCAGCCCACGGTCAGCAGAAGTAGCCTGCAGTACTGCACTCTAACTACTGCACCACCATGGCTCATATATCTGTCTGGGATGCTTTCATTTAAATTCCTCAATTAAGGAAGATAGTTGACTTCATGTCTTTTTAGACTCTTCTAACACCACACTTCCTTGAATCTGATGTCTTAGCTTGTCTAGATAGTCCACAAAGATAACAAACTTTCACAAGAAACCTCAAAGTGAGGCTCTTTTGTATTCTTTCCAGGAACAAGGCATTATATTCCATTCTCGTTCTATTTTTAATTCCTTTCTACATAAGCCCCACCATTCCTCATCTTCCCCAGAAACCAAATTTGACATGCGACAGCTGATATTCCCTCAATTCACAGCCATATTTGGCAACAGAAAGTCCTGGTGTGTGCTGAAATCCTCAAAAAAAAAAATGAACATTAAATACAAATCGCTCCATCTAAATTACCTCATGATATTAGAAGCATCTTCAGCATCTGGATCTGCGCAGTATTTGTTGGCAAGGATCAAGCAAGCATGTGCTGACTCTATCTGGACATCAAAGGAGAAAACATAAACACAGAAAAAGCAACTTACCCCCTCCCCCCAAAAAACCATATTTGGTTTTTATGGAAAATGGGCTAAGAGATCACATATAGATTTTCATGCAAGTGAACGCTATTATTCATTCCTTTCAACCTCAGGATGTTATGAGGAAAAGCATACCTCTAGATCTGTAATGGCGAACCTATGGCATGCGTGCCACAGGTGGCACGTGGAGCCATATCGGTGGGCACGCAAGTGTTGCCCTAGCTCAGCTCTGGCATGCATGCATCCCCAGGCTCCAAGAAAGCCTCTGGAGCCTGGGGAGGACAAAAAATGGGCCTACAGGGCCCACTGTGCCATCGCATACCAAAAGCGGGGGGAGCGCGGAGGGGTCATGTGCACACACACAGGGGGGCAGGGTGCATTGAACTATGGGTGTGGGCACGCACGTGCGCGACCCCCCCCCATACTCGCCCCGCTCTTGGCATGCGACGGCAAAAAGGTTAGCCATCACTGCTCTAGATCCACCTTAGCAACCTACAGATGGTGTGGAGCCAGGTCTCCAGCCAGCGTGGCCATTACTGACAATTCTGGGAGTCAAAGTTTACCCATCTGCCAAGGATGAATAACACTGTGCCCAAAGCCTAACAACTTCCAGCTTCTATTTTATATACACATATAGTTTTCAAGGTCTAAACATCAAGCTTTGTGGTTAGACTGAGAGACAGCCATGGCCCCATTGAGTTATTCTGCTGAAATTCTATAAGAAAAGGGTTATATTCAGAACAATTAGCCCATTCATAAAAGCAGAATTCTGAACTGTTGCCACTTCAGTCTTAAACTTGTTCACCTATCGCTGCATTATCCACCTTCTTCTTTTTCTAAAGAACCTTATTATAAAACAGGATCTCTTTATTCCAGAAGGATTAACGGTCCAAAAAGCTGATAATTCTGTGCCATTTCTTCTGAGCCAATTTGAACTTGAAGGGACTTCCTAAGCTGCAACCCATCGATATAGTTTGACGACTAGAATGGTACGATTTCTGCCAAAGCACCATGGAAAAGGGTCTGTGACAATTCGCCATGGCCAACTTGTCATGGCCAACTCATCGCGGGACAACTCGCTGCAGGACAAGAGTTACACTAATGTCAGAGAAATGGTGGAACAGGATCATTAAAGAAAGGAAGGACAGAACGAAAGGTGAATGACGAAAATTAAAAGCATTTTTATTTATTTATTTCCAATGAATGAAATGGAATTGTTAAGTTGTTCTGCGGCGAGTTGTCCTACAGCGAGGTGGCCATGGTGAGTTGTCCCGTGGTAAATTGGCTGTGGCAAGTTGGCTGCAGCGAGGTGTCCCATTCCGCCATGGAAATGGAAAAACAGTCCTGTTGTCCACAAGAAGTTCCTAGATTTCTTTATGGGACAATATGCCTCCCATTTTCTTTTGGGAAATGGAATCGGGTTTTAAAATCAGTTTGCATTTTTAGACCCTGCTTGTTCAATTTCTTCTCCAAATGGTGGGGTAGAAAATAAAAAGGAACCTTTCCTTACCTTTACTCTAGCCAAGTCGTGCGGATTGAGAACTGAACCCTGAAAAAATTCCACCTGAGTGAAGTGCCGTTTAAAAAGAGCTTCCAACTCAAGGTTAGGGGAGATACTAAATTTAAAGAGAGAGAGAAAGAAAGAGAAAGACAAAACTGATTTCTCGAACGGTTCCAAAAGGTTAACAGATTTTGCAGCAGCTCGTAACATCTATTTTGTAGATGATCATTTTCAGTTTTTCTTTGCAGCTACGAGCTCTCCAGAACGCTTTCACTTTCATCCAAATATCACCCCTCTCTTCATCCCCGGGTCAGAATGATTAAAAAATCATCAGGGAAGTAGATTATGTTCAGAATTTCAATTGTGTTCTCCCTTTTTCTCTGGAATTAGTGGAGGGGATGCATTTTGAAAGACGTCGCACTCAAAGGCATATTGTACAAGTGCTTAATTTTACTGAAAAGGTGAATTAAGTTTATTCTGCTATACACACACACACACAAATATACATATATACACACATGCATAAACAGACATTATACACTCATTTACTGGGTCCAATTATAGTGGTGCTTATAATGAATTGATCACAGGCTGCGGCAAGCCAGTTTGGCCTAGTGGTTAAGGCACCAGGATAGAAACTGGATGATCGTGAGTTCTAGTCCAGCCTTATCTATGAAAGCCAGCTGGGTGACTTTGGGCCAGTCACTCTCTCCTCTCTCAGGAGGAGGAAAGTGTGTTGGATATGTTCACCGCCTTGTATAAATGATAAAGGTGGGATACAAATAAATACACAAACACATACACACACACATCCCTCACAGGAAGACTAAATTGATCATTTCTACTACTCTACCCTAAAACTTGTCTGTTCCTTGGAAGCATAGCTAACAAGGACCTGCTACAAGAGCTTATGCAGTGGAGACAAATTCCTTGTGTGTCCAATCACACTTGGCCAATAAAGAATTCTGTTCTGCATTCTGTATTCTATTCTATTCTATTCTATTCTATTCTATTCTATTCTATTCTATTCTATTCTATTCTATTCTATTCTATTCTATTCTATTCTATTCTTCTCTTTTGTCCTGTCCTGTCCTATCCTATTCCAGTCCATTTCAGTCCAGTCTAGTGTAGTCTAGTCTATTTTCTCTTCTGTCCTGTCCTGTCCTGTCCTGTCCTATCCTGTCCTGTCCTGTCCTGTCCTGTCCTATCCTATCCTATCCTATCCTATCCTATCCTATCCTATCCTATCCTATCCTATCCTATCCTATCCTAATTCTCCTCCTCTCTCCTCCCCTCCCTTCCATTCTGCATTCTGTTCTGTTCTATTCATTTCTATACAAGGTTGCTTCTGAATGCTACTAGCTGTCTATGTGACGTTTTCAGCAGTCACTCATAGTTTACATTGAAGCAGTTGAAAAACAACTCCTTTGTGTATTTTGCACTTTCCTATATCCTGTAGTTTTGCCTAATCCCATCTCTTTGAAATTTTTGACAGACAGGACAAGAACCGACACAAGAGTGTTTCAATTTAGTCATAGCAGCCAGCTGATCAAAACTGTATTTTTCTATGTATGTATGTATGTATGTATGTATGTATGTATGTATGTATGTGTGTGTGTGTGTATCTATATATCTATATCTATATCTATATCTATATCTATATCTATATCTATATCTATATCTATATCTATATCTATCTATCTATCTATCTATCTATCTATCTATCTATCTATCTATCTATCTATCTATAGGTCTTTGGTTATTCAGGTCTTCTCCCACGTAAAATTGGAAGTGTCTTGGCGACGTTTCGACGAAGTCTCATTCGTCATCTTCAGGCTGGTGTTCTCGGCTTCGTGCTTCCAGGAGCAATGTGAGATCGCAGCTGTCTCTTCCTTTTAACTGCTAGTGGAGGTGTGAGCTGATTGGGTGGGAACTTGGCTGTGTTCTGATTGGGTGGAGGTGTGTTCTGATTGGTTAGGGGCTTGGCTGTGCTCTGATTGGCTGGGGTTGTGTTCTGTTTGGGTGGGGGCTTGATTGTGCTCAGCTTAGTCTGAGTTGCAGGGGGATTTGAGCTGGTGAGCTGCGTTGTTGTTGTTTGGCTTCGTGTTTGTGGCCGTGCGAGCTCTTCATGGTGGGTGTCAGTCTGCTTCATGTATGGACTGACACCCACCATGAAGAGGTCGCACGGCCACAAACACGAAGCAAACACAAACATGAAGCCAAACAACAACAACGCAGCTCACCAGCTCAAATCCCCCTGCAACTCAGACTAAGCTGAGCACAACCAAGCCCCCACCCAAACAGAACACAACCCCAGCCAATCAGAGCACAGCCAAGCCCCTAACCAATCAGAACACACCTCCACCCAATCAGAACACAGCCAAGTTCCCACCCAATCAGCTCACACCTCCACTAGCAGTTAAAAGGAAGAGACAGCTGCGATCTCACATTGCTCCTGGAAGCACGAAGCCGAGAACACCAGCCTGAAGATGACGAATGAGACTTCGTCGAAACGTCGCCAAGACACTTCCAATTTTACGTGGGAGAAGACCCGAATAACCAAAGACCTACATACAAACACCCGCGAAAACCTGAGAAAACATATATATATATATATATATATATATATACACACACACACACACACACATATATATATATACACATATACATATACATATACATATACATATACATATACATATACATATATATACACCCCTATCTCATCTAAAAACCAAGGCAGTTATTATTAGAAGTGAGTTTTATGGTAACCGCATGTTCTTTAGGCATTAATGGCTGCTGATAGGGCATTTTCAGGAAATTAAGACTGACATGGAAAAATTGTGGTCCAACTATTAAAAAAAGGGGGGGAGAAAAAAACCTTAAGTGTATTGTTTAGTTTGCTTACTGTATTTTCTAGTCTCTCTTCTGTGCTAAAGGTAGTGTATAAACTGGTGTTTACAAATTTCTTGCATGCTACAAGTAATAAAATCACAGAACTGAGAAAGACGATGCCCTTGTCTGTTCGTGCATCAACATCCATCATTTAATGGATACATGTCAGCAGGACACAGAAGCCCAAAATTTATCAGAATCTTCTCCGCTATTCTCATCAAAGATGTGAATTCTTCCTGCAAACTAAAACATGTGCCTCACTCTTTCTAGACTTTATTTCACAAAGGAATCAATCCAGAAGTTCTGGCCTCTTGAGTGTTGTATCTGATCTTGTGGTATCTTGAAGACTAACATATTTATTTTGACAGGAGCTTTAATAAACATGGATCCATGTCAACAACATGTCAAGTGTTATTTATGTGTATCTTCCTATTGATCTATCTAGACCTTCCTATTGACCTATCTAGACCTTCCTATTGACCTATCTAGACCTTCCTATTAACCTATCTAGAGCTTCATCTGAGACCTTTCTGGGTCTCTTCAAAATGAGAGAAAGAGTGCTGGGCCACAAAAAGAAAGGCTTTTATTTATCATACTCTTCAAAGATCTGAGTGGCAATTAATGTTATAGCTCTCTTGAACCCAAACACATAAATTCATTTTTAATTACTTAGAATTATACCCTGCCTCTTCTCTTTGTGTTCTGTTTTCTGTTCAGTGTACATCTTTGTAGATTTAAATTGGAAATATGTGACTGGTTCAAATTACTGAACAATGTTCCAGAGTTGGTCTTCCTATTCAATCACTATTGAAACTTTAATGATAATGTGACGCCTATACCTCAATTTTCCCACCTGTTTTGAAAATGATTTTAAACTATTGTTAAAATTTCACTATTTAAGTCCTATTTTTATTATTATGATTTTCATGATATATTGATTGCTGCCCAATGATGTTTCTAGTGATGTGTTTATTCCTTTTCTCTGTTTTATTATATATTTTAACTGATTTATACACCTTTGTGGTTCCTGGGCAGGTTATTAGTGCAATAAATTTTTAATTATTAAAAAATCATAAATTGACAGTGTAAAAAAAATGTACACAGATCTTGGGAAGAGCAGTGCAAAATCAAAGAAAAACAGAAGCAGAGAGATAACTCCACAGACTTTGAAAATTTTAATGTAGACTGAATTCCTAGCACTGGTAAATTTAAAATCTAGCGAAGAATAAAAATCATTCACAATACCTCAAAGTGCCACTGCCTGGGTCAATTCCTGTTCTTCATGCATAACTACCATAATTTAATGATTCATCAGTTTAATAGGATTATCGGTTTCAGTTTCTTTCAAATTGGAATTCAAACTTTTTTTTTTAACATGCCAAAGATCGTATATGAAATTTTTTCAGGTCATCTTAGTTAATGTCTAGAAATACTTTTGACGGGTGACATTTGTGATCTGGATAGATGGACACGGAGAGCCACAAGTAGAAGACTTGTAGTTTCAAAACGATAGAAAATAAAAATTCATTGAGATCTACAGCCAACTTTGTTTAAGTGATATTGATGATGGAGTACTCTGTGGCATGAGTGACATTCATAATATTCTCCTTGTTCGAAGAATCCTATTCAAATTTTCCCATTGGGACCCCTTTTAAGAATCCTAAAAGAATTCTCGGTCTCTAAACCACAAAGTCATACAAAGCATGCTCCAAAAATGATTTGGAGGTGTTCTTTCAAATCTCAACAAAGATCCAATTTCATTTTAAATTGTTTTTTTTATCGGATTTTAGTAATAATTTATGTTTGGAACTCTGCACTTTGATATGGGCTAATCAATAAACTAAACTCTAAACATCTTGAAATCTCAGCAAAGCATAACACTCCTCTGCTATTCACTAAGGCCAGCCAACTTTTTTTCAGCATTCCAACTGAGCCTGGAAAATATATGGTGACTGCTTTAAGAGGCACACTGAGCTCCATTAAAGAAACAGTTATGTTGGTCTGTGACTATAATACAGATTTGATTTGATTCCATGACTTAAAGCAACACCATCTTTTTTTTCCAGTTCATATGGAAAGCTCAAAAAAGTTCTAATTACTTAATGAGATCTTATCTTTTACTTCAAAGATATAAGGCATTGAAAGCAGGGATGGGATTCAGCCAGTTCAGACCAGTTTGGGCAAAGCGGATGCTAATTTTCCATCTGGTTCGCCGAACCGGTAGTTGCAAGGACTGGCTGGCCCTGCTCACCCCACCCACCCCTCCCAGGAGTTTCCACATGGTCCATTTTCAATGCCAGGTAAGCCTGCGTGGAGGCTCTAGGAGGGCGAAAAATGGGCCTCCTGGAAGTTCCGGACATCTGGGAATAGTGCCATTTCCCATTTATTTATTTATTTATTTATTTATTTATTTATTTATTTATTTATTTATGTAATTTATATGCCGCCCTTCTCCTGAAGGACTCAGGGCGGCTTGCAAAGAAAACATTCAACAATTCAAAAATTACATAAACAATTAAAATCCGATTAAAATTTATTAAAATTATTTCAATGTAAAAATCCCCCAATGGGATATGATATATTATATTATATTATATTATATTATATTATATTATATTATATTAATATTATATTATATTATATTATATTATATTATATTATATTATATTATTATATTATCATATAATCATAATATGATTATCTTGAAACTCCCAAAAAAAGTGGTGTTATTAGCCATCAAACCTCAAAAATACACTTCCCCCGAAAGGCTTCCACAATTTTGGCCACTACTATAGTCAGGAAAAATGTAAGCCCACCTAATTCATACCTGGAGTTCAATTTGGACATCTTCTCAATGCATCCTTCTGAGATTGCCACCAAATCCAACATTCCAATGCAACTGGCATCTTCTAGTTTTGTGTTCCTCAACCTTAACAACTTTGAGACATGTGGACTTCAATTCTCTTCCACAGATTTTAGGGCCCCACATGAACTTTTTTTTTTTTTTTTTTTTGAGTAGTGACATGAAGGTACTTACTTATGCAGAAAGACAATTTCTACGTTGACATCATCCCTGTCCTTGTGTAGGAAGTCCTTCAAGAAATTGGACACACTTTCCAAAGTGATGTGGCCACAGACAACAATGTGCCTGGGACAGAAAAAAGGACACAGTTAAGTCTGCTGTAAAGATGATCAGGAAGAACAAGAACAAATTCATTGAAAGGTTCAAGACTGTTACTTTTGTAAGAAAATAATCATGAAAAAAAAAAAGGAAATAAGCATTAATCTAGTGACAGTCTCCAGTTTATTCTTGAAAAGAGAAACTAAGTACCTATATTACAGAATCTTAAATGAATACCATTTAATTCAATACATTGTAATTATAGTCATATAAATAAACCAGAAGCACATCGCCTAGCATGTTTTAGATGCTACATTTCCAGCAGCATTATATGTTGTGAGAGGAAGGGCAGTGGCTCAGTGGTTAAGGTGCTGGATTTATCAGCTGGAAAGCCTGCAGCCCATATTTGAGACCTGAGCTCCACGTGACAGGGTGAGCTCCCGCCCTTGCTCCAGCTCCTGCCAACCCAGCCATTTGAAAGCATGCAAAGGCAAGTAGATAAATAGGTACCATTTTGGTGAAAAGTATATATATATATATGTATGTATATGTATATGTATATGTGTGTGTGTAAATATAAATATAAATAATGGTGATGTGTTTATCCAAATGCTTGATTACAACACAGGTATTTTATTTCTGTATTCTGTTTTATTAATTTTACCCAAGAATTATATCCTGTATTTTATTTTTATTTTCTTTGATATGGCCTTAAGACTAATTAATTAATAAACTAGCCCTACTACAGCATCCTTAGCCATTATGGTCCATTGCAAATTCCAGTGAGATGATTGGTCTTTTCTTTTTGCATACCGCCATTTAATATTTTGATTCCGGTCAGCTTCCTGTTACAGTGGAAATAGCAATAGTCCTTAGACTTATATACCGCTTCACAGTGCTTTACAGCCCTCTCTAAGTAGCTTACAGAGTCAGCATCTTGCCCCCAACAATCTGGGACCTCATTTAACTGACTGTGAAAGGATGGAAGGCTGAGTCAATAGCAATAGCCCGTAGACTTATAGACCGCTTCACCGTGCTTTACAGCCCTCTCCAAGTGGTTTACAGAGTCAGCCTATTGTCTCCAACAATCAGGGTCCTCATTTTACCAACCTTGGAAAGATGGAAGGCTGAGTCAACCTTGAGCCGGTCAGGATTGAACTGCTGGCAGTCAGCAGAATTAGCCTGCAATACTGCATTCCAACCACTGCGCCACCACGGCTCTTAATGTTAACTTTTTAATCATTACTTAAGCAAACCAGGATTGAAAAGAACATTCATCAGGGAAGCAAAACAGCAGAACAAAGGTTGTAGTCATCACTTGGTTCCTAATTTAGGTACGTGCACATCAACTCACAATGTTCTTACAAAGAGGGATGTGTCAGGATTGATCCGAATGTTATATCTCCCCCCCCAATGTATTCATATTACATTTGATATGATTAATTTGGGATCACCTGACTCTATTCAGCTAAGTTTGACCTAAGAGAGAGACTGTTGTGGACTTATTATGCTGAAAAGCTTGCACCACATTGTAGGTTTTTATCCATCCTGCCACTCTTTATTCTATTATAATTGAAGATGGAGTCTAGAGAAAGGTATATAAGAGAAATCAACCCATTAAAATACTAATATCATGCACACACATGATATTATGCTATTTGAAATGTGCCTTTTGCAATTTAAGGTACTCTCTATGAACATGTCCACCATGTTTGCATCTTTGCATCTTTTCTCAGAGGAAATAAACAGAATAACCAAGTTGGAAGAGACCTTGGAAGTCTTCTAATCCAATTCCCTGCTCAAACAGCTCAAAACAGCCCTGCTCAAAATTGGACCTGCTATACTATTTCTGACAAATGGCTGTCCAATCTCTTCTTAAAAACCTCCAGTGATGGAGCACAACTTCTGGAGGCAAGCTTTTCCATTGATTAATTGTTCTGTCAGAAAATGTCTCCTTATTTTTAGGTTGGGCCTCTCCTTGATTAGTTTCCACCCATTGCTTCTTGTCCTGCCTTCTGATGCTTTGGAGAATAGTTTGACTCCCTCTTCTTTATGGCAATCCCTTAGATATTGGAACACTGCCATCATGTCTCCCCTAGTCCTTCTTTTCACTAAACTAGACCAGTGATGGAGAATCTTTTAGAGACCGAGTGCCCAAACTGCAACTCAAAACCCACTTATTTATCGCAAAGTGCCAACATGGTAATTTAACCTGAATAAAGAGGTTTTACTACCTAAAAAAATGATAAACAACTCACGAGTTCAGCTAATTGTTCTAAGAAAAATGTGATAAATGCACTTTTATGCCACTTTATAATATTAATAATATTAATACCACTTTATAATGCCTTGGTAAGGCCACACTTGGAATACTGCATTCGGTTTTGGTCGCCACAGTGTAAAAAAGATTTTGAAATGCTAGAAAGAGTGCAGAGAAGAGTAACAAAGATGATTAGGGGACTGGAGGCTGAAACATATGAAGAATGGTTGAATATGTCTAGTTATAATGAAAAGAAGGACTAGGGGAGACATGATAGCAGTGTTCCAATATCTCAGGGGCTGCCACAAAGAAGAGAGAATCAAGCTATTCTCAGCACCTGAGGGTAGAACAAGGAGCAATGGGTGGAAACTAATCAAGGAGAGAAGCAACTTAGAAATAAGGAGACATTTCTTAACAGTTAGAACAATTAATCAGTGGAACAACTTATCTCCAGAAGTTGTGAATGCTCCAACACTGAAGTTTTTAAGAAGAGGTTGGATAGCCATTTGTCTGAAGTGGTGTAGGGTTTCTTGCCTAAACAGGGGGTTGGACTAGAAGACCTCCAAGGTCCCTTCCAACCCTGTTATTCTAAATAACATGCCCCTTCATTTTTCTTTCTGCTTTTGAAATATTATGTTTAGCAACAATAAAAAAGAAAAACTTTTGTAATATAATTTCTCTCTTTCCCTCCCCCCTTTTCCCCTCTCTCTTTCTCTCTCTCTCTCTCTCTTCCCCCTCTCTCTTTCACTAGACATACCCAATTCCTGCAACCAATCTTCATATGTTTTAGCCTCCAGCCTCCTAATCATCTTTGTTGCTCTTCTCTGCCCTCTTTCCAGAGTCTCAACCTCTTTTTTTTTTATATCGTGGTGACCAAAACTCGATGCAGCGTATTGCAGGCATGGTTTTACCAAGGCATTATAAATGTCTGTTACTAGCATTGTTTGCCTATAATGGTTGGGACTATAAAAGGAGATAATCTAAGGCTGCCACAAAAATCCCGTAACACAGAAGGAATTCTACCCACTAAAGTTTGGTGTTGTGCATCAGTCATTGTTGCAGAACTGGAGAAGTGCAATTAATAATGGCTGCTATGGGTCCCTTATGTACCTGCAAAGCTTAGGACCTCTAAAGAAGCAAGACAAAAGAAAAAAAAACCCAACTTGACCCCGTTCATTTTGGGATGCTCTGGGAGCTGCAAAAGGGATATTTATGTTTCAACACAAGTTCCTTGGCCAGATTTTTTTTTCTTTTGCATTCCTGTCCCTTTTTCTCTTGAACAGCCAGACTGCAGTTTCCCTTCCAGTAACTGCTCATCGATTGCTTCAGTGCTTCCTTCCAAACCGTTTCCTGTTCCACAATTTCTCCAAATCTTTTAGCAGCTTAAGGAAGGGAGGGGAAAAACCTGTAAAGGAAGCTTTTGTATGAATATCCCTGAGCTGATTCATCTGAAATCTGGAAGACTTTATCCCCGCAGGGAAAACTTTGCCTTCATCTTTCTTTTCAATTTTGCCAAGAATGAAAAAATAATAACTGATCAACCATATGTTTGAATGCATCTAGTATAAAAACCTCTTGCACCCAATTTGTCAGGAAAATCTTATCCCCCTGCTGTTCCCAATTTGTTCTCTCTGTGTCTCTGTCTCTCTCTCTCTCACACACACACATATGACTTTTGCACAGTGATAGAAATCATTACGAGAATAGTTGATCTGAACTGAAATCATAGGTGTAGAAAGTTAGCACCCACCCCTCTCCTAGAAGGATGAAATATTTTGAGAAATATTAAAAAGGCAGAATATTATATTTCCCTAAAGGGAGAAATGGAGAAACATGCTCTTGGAAAGCAGCTCCCACCTTTCTTAATAGCCTCCAGCAGATATTTTGTGCCCATTGAGAAAGATTGGGCCAGTCCATCTACAAAACCTTCAGCTCCAGGGTGATGGGATTAAGACATCACCCTTCAGGGATTAACCCTCTACCATCTAGCAGCAAAGCTCACCACATTGCACAATCTCCTAAGGACATTGCATCACCCTCCAAACTTCAACCAAACTTAGCTCAGACAACCTACAGAGCCAGCTATAACAGCCAATAGAATACATGTTCTTGCACAGGAAGTTCAAGCGCAAAGCGCAGGAGAAGGTATAAATACCCCCCACTTCTCAACTCCATGTGGTCAGTTGCACCACAAACATGTTGCTTCTGTTCATCAATAAATGGACCCTTTTTCCAACTAGCCTCCAGCCTCCATTTTGTCTCCAGTGCCTTTCTCCCAGATTGGAACTGGACCTGGGTGTTTCTTCCAACATAAGGAAAGAAAATAAACAAAAATTCGATTTCTTGTAGAATAGTCCCAAAATGCCCTTGAAGCTTTTAGGATCTGATTTGTGGGAGGCACAGGCCTCCCACATAATTCAAGAAAAGTCATTCCCTAACCACTGTGATAACATGCCACTGCAAATGAACAACGACAACATCCTTGACCAGGGCAAGTCCAAAAATGCCAGGGAATTTTAGAAACCTGGCACTCTGACAAATCAGCCATCAATAGACACACAGACATTAACAACATCTATAAAAAGGTAAAGGTCCCCCTCGCACATATGTGCTAGTTGTTCCCAGCTCTAGGGGGCAGTGCTCATCTCCGTTACAAAACTGAAGAACCAGTGCTGTCTGAAGACGTCTCTGTGCTTATGTGGCTGACATGACTAAACGCCAAAGGCCCAAGGAACGCTGTTACCTTCCCACCAAAGGTGGTCCCTAT